ATGCAGAAGCTCCAGACACAGGGACAGACCACTTCTTTCCAGGGGGTACAAATTTGACATGAAGAGAAACATAAACAGCCTTGTCTTCTTTCGATAATTATCTACATGTAAATGGTCCCTCCCCCCCAGAGATCCAGTGGTCCACCCCTTACCTCGATCTTGAGCAGGCGCCTATTCTCCAGCGCCCTCCTGGGCACAACTTCCTCAGCCAGAGGTTTCTGGTCTGCGGGCTAGTATGCAGGTAAGGCAAGACATTAACACCAACCTGTCACCAACCTGCTCTCAGAATGGCATGCAGCACAGATGGGAAACACTAGGGGGCGTACATGCACAACTTTGACAGGCTAGTATGCAGGTAAGGCAAGACAGCCTGTCACTAAACTACACGTTATGCTCTCAGAATCTCATGTAGCAAAGATAGAAAACACTAGGGGGCGCACATGTACTGATTTTGAGAAGGAAGAATTTTGGGGCAATGTGTCTCCAGAGGTGGAACTAAAAGTTGGTTTCAACCTTGGAATCTGTAAAACGAAAAAATAAAAAAAGCAAAAATCCATGACTTATGCATTTCCTTTCTTTTGTGAACCAAACAACGCTGAAAAAGGGTAGGGACGGCTATTCCGAGATCAGGGTGCGCCAATGGCATCGTGCATTGTTATGTCAATCTTACTCTGTATTTATCGCATTCGGTTGACATTTATCAAACTTGTTATACTAGTACAGTTATTTTCCAGACAATCAGGAAGAGATTTGGTGTTAAGATGTTTAAAACTTATGCTATGGCCAATTTCAGACCAGAAATTGGCATAAAATCTACGTTATGCTGTTGCACTTGAAAAATGCCAGTTTTTGAGATATGCTTTTAAGTAATTTGGGAACAAAAAAATGGAATGAAAAGATTTGCAATATGTTCAGACATGCTCAGTCTGATATGTTTTGCAAAAAACCTGATGATGATTGGAAATTTTTCTTTTCTGGAGCGCATTTATCAATATGTTGTACTCGTTATGTAAAATTCATAAATTAAGACATTGCAATTAACTTATCTCCCTGTACTAAAAAGGATGGTGATAGAACTGGGCATTTTGCATGTTATGCAAGGTACATCCATATATGACACAAAACATGTGTTTTTATGTTGCTTGTCCTTTGGGTTAATATGGCTGATGGCTTACAGTTACCTGTCTTTTTTGTCCGAGAAAATGTGTAGTGTCCGTTGTTCGGTAATAACTTAAAATAGAAAAGACTGTGGGTGCATATGATTTCAGGTTTTGAAACAGCTGAAGATGCTGACTTAAAACACAGTAGCTATTTCAGTCTATTGCTGTAATTATATGAAATAATGTCAAAAACCTCAAGGGTGTAGTGTCCGTTGCCATGTAGTGTCCGTTGCCAAGTATACCACATATAGGTACATTAATTACATTTTGTTGCAATCTTGAAGTAATTTTGTCATTTATGTTATTTCTGTAGCATTTTGTCAACCCCTAAATGACAGGTCTTGCAAGATTTGGTGTTCTTGTCATGTACTTGAGCTGCCAGATGTGGCCGGCAACGGACACTACAGCTTAGCTGTAGTGTCCGTTGCCGGCCACATTTGAAATGAGTGGGCTAAGTTTGGATAGAGCACAACTTTTGAACTGAACGTCTCTATCCAAAAATTTAAAAAGTAGCAATGTATGGCAACACCTCTAGTGCACTTTTCTGCACTGAAAGTAGAAAATTATAAAACTTGAAAAATTGGCCCAAGTGCAACCCTTTAGCGCACCCTGATCTCGGAATAGCAGTGAGATCAGTCGCCCCATGCCAGGAACAGAACTGATTCTCATGCCATGAACAGAAATGATTCTCATGCACACTGTCTCCTATAAGGGAACACTGTATGCTGCATACACTCTTTGCAAGCAAGAAGTATCTGTCTTTTATACTGTGGTAAACACATCAGATACTTTATTGGGCATGCAGGGTGTTTTCCAGAAGTTGTTCATTCTGGAAAACTACCCTCACAGACTGCTGTTCAAGCTTTCACAGTTCCATGCATCCGACATATCTACAACTCACCACGTCTGCCTCCTTCTTTCTCTTCTTCTCCTCTGGCTCTTCTTCTGTCTCGGCCTCGATGACAGGTGGGGTCAGCGATGCCACGAAGAACCACAGCAGGTCGTGCAGGCAGGTGGGCTGGGTCACACTACGCAGTAACCAGTTCAGGGCCTGGGGGTGAGAGGTGAAAGGTTAACAGGTTGTTGATTAACAGGTTACACAATAGCCTATCACGACAAGGATCTTAGAGCACAGAGAGTACACTCCACTGCAAAGAAGAGGATAAGAGTTCAGTGTATGGTTAAGGCTTCCTTTTTTGTACTGCCAATGATACTGCCTGTCTTGCAGCCACAAAAAAGATCTGCTTCGAGATGAAACCAACAGCCCAGTAAATTCTAGTATGCATAGACTTGCCTTGTACACTCTACATCACCCAATATCTAGAAATTATATTTTTAGGAAAAAGTTGCTCAAAGACAACTAAAAACTGAAGTCTTGTAGCATGATTTTCAAGTTCTTATTGTATCTGGTCCAGGTCCTACCTCCATAGCATGGACCCTGCAGGCCGCCTTGCGTAGGGACTGCCTCATGGCGACCTCTAACCCCTCGAGGTCGTGTCGCTGAATGATGAAGGCGATGACGGGCCACTGGCGGGCCTTGTCACGAAGGTCGCGCTGTTTGACCCTGCTCTCCACCAGTCGGGCCAGCTGGGAGGAGGGGTGGCGTAGGAGCGATGATCCACTCTCTGCATGAAATGTGGGATACATTATGTAGCAAGTGGCAGAACAGGACTGGTCAGAATCTCTCTGCCCAACACTGAGTACACAAAATAGTTACTTCCTGGATGGAAGTATTGGTTTAAATGGCACAGGTTTAAGGGAGAGTTATTATCCACAACCGAGCCTATCTAGATCTATGCCTGAATGGGTTATAGTTAGGATCAGGCACGGTTCTGACAAGACTCAGGTACATGATATATCTTTCTGGGTATGTGTAGGCTACCCCAAAAAGTGCCTTTCGGTGCTGACAATACATGCACTACTAGTATTAATACTAGTAACCCAGTAGTTTTTACTAGTAGTTTCAGTAGTTCTATGTGTACTAATTGTCTGTTTTCAATACCATATGTTTCTTCTGTTCCTGCAATTAGCCCTAGGGCATGAATTTGCAATTTAAAGACAATTATTGTCTTTATTAAAATACATGTCATTTACATTATTGTACAATACATTAAAATTATAGTGACCCTTTTAGATGTTTATGATTGTCAACTCTACCTGAATTTCCACTGACAGTTCTCCTGCGTGACGAACGCAGCTTCAGGCTCCCCATCCCACTACTATCCACCATCTCCACCTCCGAAGAAGGCATGGTTCCTTGCATAGATATAGACCGCTGGAAGGGCACCCTGGGGCTCAGGCCCTCCCCCACGGGGCTGGAATCGACGCTCATGGGCCCGGCAAACATCAGGTCCTCTTCCTTGTGCGGGCTGGTGTCCGGGGTGATCGAGATCGTCCGCTGGGGGTGCGTTCCGAACGAGTCCGAGCGGAAGCGGTTCTCTGACGCGGCGTCTCGGAAGAGGTTGTCGTTGAAAGACATGGGACAGAGGTCGTGACCCTGAGAGAGAGAGAGAGAGAGAGAGAGAGATTGAGATTGAGAAAGAGAGATTGAGAGAGAGAGAGATTGAGAGAGAGAGAGAGATTGAGAGAGAGAGAGAGAGAGAGAGAGAGAGAGAGAGAGAGAGAGAGAGAGAGAGAGAGAGAGAGAGAGAGATTGGTTTATTCAGCATAAAAAAAACCTTTGCAGCACAAGTGCTGAATTGTGGTTTCCTTACACAAATATGTAGTTTAAAACTTAGACTTACATGTATTAGACTCAGAATTATTATACATTACAAATAAGAATTGAAACAAGTCACAAGTCCTATAAAATCACTACCATCACGACTTATATTTCAGCTATAACATTAACTGTCACTCAGCAGTAAGGTAATGAAATGTACCTGCTGTGCGGCGATTTGCTGTAGGTAGAGGAAGGGGACGGAGGGGAAGTGGGCGTGGTCCAGGTCCCCCTCGGAGACCACCGGGAGCTCGTGCCTGAGGAGCTGCCTCCTGGACACGGGGCTCTGCGCCGGGATGTGCGGGCCCATCGCGCTGCCAAAGTTCAACAGAAACAGGGCGTTGTTCTTCATGATGTTGTGGGCCTCCATGGGAGTGAGCGTCCTCGGTGGCTTGAGCGGAATGACTCGCTTCTTGGCCTTCTTCACCTTCTCTTTCTGGGCAGCCTTCTTCTCCTTGAGGTACTTGTCGCGGCACTTCTCGCACATGAGGTACCAGCTGCTGCCCCCAACGCCCCCGTCCCCGCAGTTTCCGGCCCACCCGCCGCAGTAGTTCCCGCCGCTGTTGTACCCCATCCCGGCCGCGTGCTTCCCGCAGCCCGGGTGAGCCTGCTTCATGTGGTACGTCACCGGGTGGGGGAACGTGCCCCCGCACAGCTCGCACGCTGCGTCTTTCTCCCCTCCTGCCACGAACGGTGCCCCCGCTGCCTCGCCGAACAGATTCCCCCTCCCCTGCTGCTGCTGTTGCTGCTGCTGCTTCCCCTGCTGCTGAGGCCACTTGTCTTTCTTCTTCTTCTTCTCCCTCTCCTTTCGTTCCTTCTTGTTCTTTACCAGCTCGGCTGGGGAGGGTAGGATCACCTGCTGCGTCGCCATGTTGAGAACGAAAGCCGACACCTCCTCCCAGAACGAAACCAGGTGCTGCAGAGTCAGCGGAAGCTGTGGCTCCTTCTTCGTTTCCGAACTCTTTGCCACCTTGCTCGGCGACACCCCCCTCGAGTCAGTGGCCTTGCCAGCCACTCTCTTGGGGGACGGTTCAGGATTGACTAACGCGTTGATGTTCGAGGGAGCCTCTCTTTCTGCGAGCTTCTTCAACGCTGAGGTCAGCTCCATGGAATGCCTGTTTTTCAACCTGGGGTCCCTGAAGTCTTCCATCTCCGCTGCCGCCTGCTCCTTGGTGTTCTGACCGGAGCTCGCTTCTTTCGTGAGGTTAGGGTGGAACTTAAGGAAGGAGGCGCAGGCCATGGCGTCATGCACGATGCCCTCGTGCCACAGGAATGCAGCGAACACGGCCCTCATGCACTCCGCAACGGACGGAGAGATCGCGTCTTTGACCGGCTTGCGAGAGAGGGACAGCTTGGGTTTCGCACTGGGTGGTATCTCCACAGAAGGTTTTTCCTTGGGGACCGGTGACATGGCTCGGTCTCGCTTATTCCGAAGGTGTCGTACCGTCCTTTCTTTCCTTCCCAGTTTCGGGGATACTCTTTCTGTCTCCTCCCTTGCTCCCGCCATGCCTATAGTGAACTGTCCCTTGACGTGTTCTTTGACGGAATCGTTCGGAGGGGGGGTTGCTTTCCTGGTCGCAGGCGGAGAGGAACTCATGGGCGGTGGTGGGGGGGTGACGCTGGCAGATCGAACAGCCTCGTCCATGCCATCTGCTCCACTGGGAGGGTGTCCGTTTTCCAGAACAGCGTTGTTCTCCTTTGTGAGAACGATGACGTCATTCGCAGGCTTTGCGTTATGCTCGGCTGTTTCTACGGTTTTCGTAGCGTGGGTGTCCGGTGTGCAAGTGTTAACAGTAGTAGTGGTTAGCGATTCTCCGTTGGACTGCCTTGTGGAGTCCTCCAGAGAAAGCACCCTTTCCTTATTGGGAATGATAAGGCTGGATCTCGGAGATGGAATTCTCGACACATGAACTGTGCACTCCGTTCCCTTCGCCACCTCGTGCACCATACAGTGCGTTCTCCTGGACAGTTTCGTCTCCTGTTTTACACTGGCATGAACCTCCTCATGTCTGCTATCTATCACGGTCGACGATGCCTCTGTTTTCCTCAGAGGACCTGTGCTAATGATCGGAGCTTCCGCTTTTGCCTTCACGGCTTCTATCCTACTCCTGGGCAAATCTGTCTTCCCCTTTAACGAACCAGTCCTGACGGGGGGAGAGGAAGAGTCTGTGTGGGATTTCTGATGATCCGACGATCCGGATCGGCCGCGGGGAGATTTCGAGCGACTCCTCAGCTCCACAGTGACCTCGCGGTGGATTTTCCCGACGGGCGATTCGGACCGGCTCCTGGTGGTGGCGTCGGACTTGAGCGAGCTGATGATCCCGTGTTTGGGTCCCTCCGCCCGGGTCTTCCTGAGGTCCGGTTTCGGCGGCAGTTCCGGCCGAGACTTTGGCGAAACTGCTCTCTTCGAATCTGCGTCGCTTGCGTGCGACTTGGACGAATCCGAGTCCGCTCTATGCCTGTCTTTCCTCTGTAGCCTCGGGGAAGAGGATTCGGACTTCACTAGTGGGGAGCTGGGTCTACTTTTCGGGGAATCAGAGGGCGAGCCAGACTTTGTCCTGGGAGGGGATGCTCCCTTCCTCGGGATGGGTATCCCGGAGTTTCTAGTCCTACTAGGTTTTTTCTCTGGCTCCGGTTTACTGACTTCTGGCACTGTTTCCTTCAATTCCACAATGACGTCCCCCTTCTCCTTGCTACAGGATGGTACAGTGTTCTCCTTCTCTGAATCGGAAGAACCGCCCTCCCTCTTCATGCCCTGGTTGGGTCTCCTTTCCTCGACGTTGTCTCCCTGTTTGTTCTTGAGCGGAAGTCCGTCTCGTGTGGGGGAGGGCTTCCTCTCCTTGGTGGGGGGCACTGATGAAAAGTAGAAGTTGGGGGTACCTGGGAGAGAGAGAAACATCACAGTCAAGACATTGTTAACAATCATTCAAAAACTCTAAACCAGCATACAAAGTTTTAAGGTTTGTAATCATTGTGCTAAGTACATGTATGTGACAAAGGCTCAGACAATGATGATAAGTAGAAGATTGGGGTACCTGAGAGGCAGAGAAATATTGAAGTCAATTTCAATTCCAGTTTCAGTGAAGTCAAGACATTGTGTTTACAAAAACTTGACACCAGCATACAAAGTTGTAAGTTAAATCATTGTGCTGAGTATGCGATAAAGGCTCAGACAATGGCTACACCACTCCAAATGAAGTTGGGTACCCTATTTTACACCTGGGTAAAGTGAAATAGGCTGTATTATCATATAGCTGGGTGACGTTGACCAATCAGAAGGCTCCATTCCACATTCCTTATGACGCCGTAATGTCACAAATAGAGTCAAAACCGGGCCTTTATTCATCCCAATCCATACATTAAACAACCCAATAATCACCTGCATATGACCTCAGGGGTCAAACCCATGACATCTCGATCTCGTATTTGCTAGCCTAATTTCTCAACCCCACTAACTTTAGAGGGTGGTAGATGCAAACTGACCTGTAACATCCACAGCAGCCCCGAACACAAACGGGTCTGGCGGGAAGGCAGGCACGATGTTGTCAGCCTGAGCCAGGGGGATCCCGGCGCCTGCCGTGTTACCGTACATGTCCAACACCTCCAGCTTTGGGTCAGGACCAAACACAGATGGGGAGGCTGCTGGGGGGGACAGAGACGTGATTAAAAAAGTTGGCATCTTTTACTATTTACATCAATGAAGGTTAGACATCCAGGTAACGAGATGCACATAAAATGTTACTCGAGCAACTGGATAGGTAACTGTCAAACGTTCCAAGTAGCATCTACTGCTTTTTCTCGACATGATCAATAAAAAAGTTGCCATCATTATGTTTTGCAAAATGAAAAGTTAACATAATTTGATTTGCTCAGGTTCTTCTCCAAACACATAAATAAGGTCAATGATCTGGACGATTTGGGTAAAGTTGGGTATGGCTAACTTCCTGGAATGTGTTGTACATTTTAGTTCAAACTTTTTCTATAATGATTTCAACCAACAAAGATGAGCTAAGATTTCAAGATAAGATTATATTATTATCATTTCCATGTGGTAACTTGCATTTAGTCCACAGACATTAATTTGCACTAAAGGATTTCCTTTCATCGTCATCTAAACTTTTAAATTGCCTACCAGCTGCTGCAGCATTGTCAGTAGGCTGGCTGAACCAGAAGTTGGGGGGAGTGATGTCGGCCGCCCTGAGTAATATACCACTTTAATATGTAAATACTACGTATGCTTACTTAATTTTCCTTTACTCATTAGTCAAACATAAAACTGCATGAACCTACCAGCTGCTGCTGCATTATCTGTAGGCTGGCTGAACCAGAAGTTGGGGGGAGTGACATCAGCCCCCCTGAAGTCAAACCCCTTCGCAGACGGCGTGGTTGGGCCGGAACCAAAGGCATGAATTTACACTTAACTATTTCCTTTAATCATTAACTTAATACATAGAAACTCACCAGCTGCTGCAGCATTGTCAGTAGGCTGGCTGAACCAGAAGTTGGGAGGAGTGACGTCGGCCCCCCTGAAGTCGAACCCCTTCGCAGACGGCGTGGTGGGGCCGGAACCGAAGGGTGAGGAGAAGGGTGAGGGAGAGAAGAGCGCCAGGCTGTCCTCCCGTTCGCTGCTGAGCTCCGACTCGTGCTTGAGGTAGGTGATGTCGTTTTTCCCGCGCGCCAGCGACCAGGCTTCGCCCTCGTCACTCTCGCAGTACTGCTGCGTACTGTGCTTCGACAGACGCACCCAAGTACCGTCAGAGTTACTTGTCTGCAGAGGAACAGAATAAAAAATATCACAAACATTTAACAGATATCTGCTATCTTGCTGTGTGGTTACATTTTGACAGACGCACAGAAGTACTGTCAGAGTTACTTGTCTGGAAAGTAAGGCACACATGTCAGGTTTTTAACAGATATCTGCTACCCTATGATTTTGACAGATGCACCCGAGTACCGTCAGAGTTACTTGTCTGGAGAGGCATAAGATAAAATATATCACAGCCAAGTACCGTCAGAGTTACTTGTCTGGAGAGGCATATAATAAAATATATCACACCCAAGTACCGTCAGAGTTACTTGTCTGGAGAGGCATAAGATAAAATATATCACGTCAAACAGTGAACAATCAGATATCTACATGGTCACATTTGTCGTATGATATCTACAGACGCACCCCAGTACCGTCAGAGTTACTTGTCTGAGAAGAAAGGCACACGTCAGGTTTTGCTAAAGACATCAGATTCTAAACTGTTTAACAGATATCTGCTACCCTATGATTTTGACAGACGCACCCAAGTACCGTCAGAGTTACTTGTCTGCAGAGGCACATAATAAAATATATCACACCCAAGTACCGTCAGAGTTACTTGTCTGCAGAGGCACAGAATTAAATATATCACAGCCAAGTACCGTCAGAGTTACTTGTCTGCAGAGGCATATAATAAAATATATCACACCCAAGTACCGTCAGAGTTACTTGTCTGCAGAGGCATATAATAAAATATATCACAGCCGAGTACCGTCAGAGTTACTTGTCTGCAGAGGCATATAATAAAATATATCACACCCAAGTACCGTCAGAGTTACTTGTCTGGAGAGGCACATAATAAAATATATCACACCCAAGTACTGTCAGAGTTACTTGTCTGCAGAGGCATATAATAAAATATATCACACCCAAGTACCGTCAGAGTTACTTGTCTGCAGAGGAACAGAATAAATAATATATACATGTATCACAAACATTCAACAGATATCTGCATGGTCACATTTGTCGTACGATTTCGACAGCCGCACCCAGGTACCATCAGAGTTACTTGTCTGGACAGGCACCATCGTGAGGTGTCCACAGCTTGGTTTCTGACTCCACGACGATAGATACAATTATAACAGAATCTGCTATCTTATGGTGTTGTCACACTTGTTGTACGTTGGCATAAAATTTTGATGCCAGGGAGTTTTTAAGTTTTCACCAAACAACTCCAGATGTCTCGAAAGGCGCAAAACTTTTTCCTTTACTCTCTTTACTCCCAATGGTATGTGTATCATTTGAAAGAATAACGATGCTACAACAAGCTGGGCAATAGCTTTCAGACAGGCCAATATCTGATACTGGTTAACCTCTGGTTATGGTTTTATTGTCACTCTGTTGTCTGTCTTGTTTTCTCTTTACACTCAGGACTACATTTAGTACATTCCTCTCATCACCACCAGGATTACCTAAGTATTTTGTTTTAAAAATTTGTCATCATCAAGACCATTTTACACTCAGGAGTACTAAGTACTCTCTTCTTCTCTTCAGCACGCAGACCAACCTCTTCAGTCGCTGTCAGCTGGCTAACGAACACCGGATTACCACTTTACCATTTACTGATTATTACTTAGGATTGAGAAAATGAGTTTTTTTCTTTACACACTCAGGATTACATGGCAAAATTAGCACTTTCTCCTCTTCAGCACGCAGACCAACCTCTTCTGTCGCCGTGAGCTGGTTACCGAGCACCAGCATGCCCACAGGAGTGGCCCTCAGGCTGGGCCTGCACCTGACATTGTGGCCCGAGGCCCCACACTTCACCACTTGGTACATGCCTGGCCCACCCTTGCGGCCCCGCACCTTCTCCATCAGCTCGGGAAGTTTCCGCGCGATCCGCTCCTTGATGATCTCGTCTATGATGGACTTGGGCTCCTGTGTGCAGGAAGAATATCCAGTGTTAAGCCCTGGTTGCAATACTAGTAGCACGTTGGCAGACCGTACTGCACTAGCGTGAAACCTGTAATGTATTGTATATAGCACTTTGGAAGTATGCCTTCTTAAGGCTGTATTAAATTAGTGTATTCAAGGATGACATCGTATCTATTGTTTTCAAATGTTGTGCCAGAAACAGGCAAACTTCTTACACAACATTAACAAAAAGTACATCCAACAAAAGCTGTATTTACACAGGCCAAGACCTCTCTACTAGGTCTACAACATAAGGTTTGAGAAGAAATGGGTGCAATATTAGTTTCTTAAATTATTCTTGACAAAGGCTGGAGTTGTACAGTCGAAAATTTGGGAAGTCTTTTTGTGTTGAAAATCATTGTCAAATTTGCTTCAAAATGACTTCTACCAACAGCATAGATTGAACTTGGAAGATGATATTTCCAATGAACAGCACATTATCTGTGTTAGTTTTTCCTTCATGATACAGCACAGCAGAGTTCGACATTCCAGACTTATAGCATACCTCAACAGGCACAAGCAAGTTCTTGCCCAGATGCTGGTTGAAAGCCAGGCACCAGGCCTCACTGTTCCCGTTAGCCGGGCACCACTGCTTCAGCGAGGCATAGTCCAACCTCAGCCAAACCCCGTCAGTATTGTGGACCTACGGAGGCACACATGTTAGTCCCTTTTTACTATGGTACCAAAACAATTCATGCAGTTGCTGTAGTAGTAAATATTCACATTCATTCACATGCCATAACACTTGCACTCATGATCACCCACATCCATGAAGGTTAGACATCCAGGTAATGAGATACACAAGAAAACTGGTAGTTACTCAAACAACTGGACAGATTTTGAAAACTGTCAGTCATTTCAAGTAGCATCCACTACTAAAGCCATTGATGAAAAGTAGTAGATGCTACAGTGTTGAGGCATCTGACTGTTTTTAACATTTATCGTTGTTGCTTGAGTAACAGTTTTCTTGTGCAATTCATGCACTCATGCAATTCAGACAGTTTTTGACATTTCACAACGCACAACAATCTCTGAAATCAAGCAGCTGAGAAATCTCTTTGTTCTATACTACAGCAGGTTAATTCAGAATCAGATGTTGTTTTAAAAGAAAGAAGCAAACCTCGTCAATGAATGTGATGGTGCCGTTCGGTGCCACGGCTCCGATCTGTTCGCTCTGCAGTGAGGGTGTGCTCCTAACCCGCAGGCCTTTGCTCTGTTGGGTTACAAACTTGCGCACCTGTGGCAGAATGAAGGTATTCTTTGTATTTATCAAACTGGGTTTGTACAGTTGATATTATGAATATTCAATTACAGTACTATACATGTACGTCCCATCCTTGAAATAAATATATTTCGTTCTGGAAGGAACTGTCTGACTGTAAATAGGCAAATACACAGCAAGGAACTCATGTTGATTCATTCATACTTGAATGTAAGTAAGTGTGTGTTAGTTCCTTTCAGGCATTTGTATCCCCTTTCATGTTTCTAGGTAAAGTTGTAGTAGACCTAACAAAAGTCCCGTCTAAAATCTAGTATGTTCTTTCTTTAGTCAATTAAGATTTCGTATAAATTATTAATATATTATCATATTTTCTGATTAACATCCAGTCATTCAAATAAAATGTCAAGTTGAACGTAGAACTAAAACACAGTGTCCTTTAGTACACGTACCTTGCTTGGTTGGTGAGGTCTGGCATGGTTAGCCAAAGACGGAGGAGTTACACCTTGCGGTGGCTCTCCAACTTCAAGCTCATGCACCTCTCCTGAAAACAACAAGTCAGAGATTTCAGACTTCTGGGTGGAAGACATGGTGATGGTAGATCATCTGCTTTTGGCTTGTAGGTCTATATCATGATCATGCAATGTTGTAGAAAGGTCTTGGCGGTGAGAGCGTCAAATCCCTGCCCCATAATGGTCTTACTAGTGGTTAGAATTTGGCTAGCCTGATTAAATCGCTTTGCGGTTGCCGCCCCCATCTGCAGGGAGGGGCCACTAAAACAGGCAGCAGAGTTTGCATTACACAGACTAGAATTTGGCGCTCTCACCCCCAAGGCCTGGGTTTGATTCCCAGTGTGGGAACCACTGAAACACAAAAGGGTGAGTACACTACAGTCTCCTGGCTCCCGGGATTCGAACCTGGGCCACCAGCTCATGAATCCAATGCACTAACTCCAAATCGAAGAGATCCGGACACATTGGACTGGTCAGGTTGTGGTGCCTGAACCCCACAGTTACTGTACTTTGAAAGGCTCACCTATTTCCTGTCCATCCACAGTGATGTGCAGAGTGTACCATCCGCTCATGGTGGGGGTCCAGTTGGCGCTGTACGTGCCGTCATTGTTCGCTCGCACCAACATGTTCTCACTCGGTCTGGGATTAACATAAACACATGAAGTGTTCATATTTAGGTAAAAGTAGTTAATTATACTGTAACTAGACAACATGATCTGGAACAGTCACACATCAGGGGCCAAAGTATTGTATTTCTAGACAGTATATACTTAATAGGACTGGTAATTAGAGAGACAAAAGTTTCACAGTCTGAGAGTACTTTTAAATAATATGCAACATTCTTACGAGACAGAATTACTTACCTTCTAACTGGAGGGGAGGCAAACCTCAACTCTTCAAAGGAGTAGTCCTCATAAGCCTACAGAAAAGACCAAGTATATATTATAGATATCAAGTATATAGATATCAAACACACAATATTGTCACTTTTCAGATATAGCATTTTCACACTGAAGAATTCTGAGAAACATTAAAGTTGCTGAAATATCAATGATAACATTTCATTGCATGTGTTCAATGGAAGTACCATGAATTTAAAATTGGGACAAAGATAGGACATTGTACATGTATGGGCCCATTCACATTAAGTCATTATAATATTGTCATACAGTCCCAAACCCAAGTAGGCATTCTTGGGACAGACGTGTCCTAGCAGTGTCATCATGCAAAATTTAGCTGTCTAGTTTTGGGAAAGGCTCATTGTTGGTGCTGGTTCTGTCACAGCTTGCATGAAAATTGTGAAAATCGTGACAAAGCCGTAAATGACGAAACAAAGTTTTAGGTTCGTCAATGAAGGTTAGACATCCAGGTAATACAATATGCCAAAAAGCAATTACTCAAGCAACTGGAACTTTCCAAAATCATACCCAGTTGCTTGAGTAACTGCTTTTGGCGAAATTTTTAGGTTCTTACCTTCATCATAGTGATGGCCACATACGACATGTTGTCCTTCAGTACAGTTGCCTCGTACGACACGTCCAGTTTGGGGGCGTCGACCCCGCCGAACCACTTCCCTTCCGCCACCACGGTCCTGCGAACCTTCCTGTCCACACCGTTCCTACCCAGGGGTGCCGCACGGGCTTCAACCTGGAGGTGGTAAGTTGGTTTTTTGGTTAGTCTTAGAACCTAAAGGATTTGGATTCGAATCCCAAGCAGGCCCCACTGTTGGTGGCAAGATGGTCTTGTGCATGGTTAGGGTTGTTGAATTAAAATCTAGAGATTCTGGGTTAATTTAATTTGAAATCCCAGCAGGCTCGAATGCTGGTGGCAAGGTGGTCTTTGGTTAGGGTTGTTGACTATGTCTTGAAACCTAAAGGATTTGGGTTTGACTAACAAACAGGCCCCAATGTTGGTGGCAAGGTTCTGTGAACCTTCCTGTTGACACCGTTCCTGCCCAGCGGCGCCGCACGCACTTCAACCTGCAAGGTGGTAAAGTGGTCTTTTGGTTAGGGTTGTTGACTAAGTCTTGGAACCGAAAGGATTTGGGTTCAAATCCCTATAACAGGCCCCAATCAACCTGTAAAGTCGTAAGGTGGTCTTTTGGTTAGGGTTGTTGACTTAAAATCTAAAGATTCTGGGTTCGAATTCCTAGCAGGCCCCAATGTTGTGCCCTTGGGAAAGGCAACTTTACACATATTTCCTTGCTCGACTCAGGGGAAAATGAGTACCTAGACTTGGTTTGGGACATCGACTCAGAATTGTGACATACAGTTGGAGGGGCCATGTTTGAGGAGTGACACACCTCAAGCACGTTATAATTTGACCACATGAGACTAAAAAGAGTCAGGGTCCTTCCCAGAGTGCATCAAATATTATGTGATAACATAATACTGAAACCTCAATATGACGTACTTGAATTAAAGATGTTAAAGGAAGTAAACTCAACACAACCTACCTTTAGACTTGGCACGTTGACGGGGTCGCCATACTGGTCCAAGGTGCGAATGACGATCATGGTGGGCCAGTTACACTTCAGCTCGTCCTTACTGAACACCACCTCCGTCAGCTTGGCATCCACATAGGAGTCAGGCTGCAGCCATCTGGTAAGGGCACAGGAATGAATTGTTCATTCAAACACTCAAGTTAAGTCTGTAATTAATATATTGTATGTTTCATTTTGTGTAATTATGTGTATTTTGTTTACCATGTAGTCTGTTTATATGGATGTTTTTATTTTGTGTTTTTATTGTGTATTTGAACCCTGTAAGATTAGTCTTTATGCTAAAGGGCATGAGGGTAAAAAGAATAAGCTTTAAGAGAGAATTGTTTGATTATGTTGCTTTGTTCTGTTTACATGTCACTAATGGTGGTCTATGACGAAGACACTTGTACAGATACATGTACATATTTTCGAGCATTTAAAAAAGCAAGTTAAAATACAAATGACACTATAGCTACCAGTAAATCATGTTTCATACTATCCTTAATCAACAGAGAAGGACAAACCGAAACTCAGACACTTACAAATGGAATGATTAAAGAAGTCATTAAAACAAGTCTCAAAGGTTTCTTATAAAATCAATGATAAGTGCGCTTCTGATAACAGTAATTTGACCCACCTTGCGAACCTCCCCCCGCTGGTCCCGGGTGTGCAGACGATGAAGTCCTTGAGGAAGGCGCGTTCGTTGGACTGAGTGCTGAGCAGCAGGGTCCCCTCTAGCGCCTGGTGCACCGTGGGGGGGCACACCAGCGCAAAACCCTTCCCCAACAGGGTCGAGTGCGCATCAAACACCTGGAAATGCGAGAAATGAAAAATCAAACAATATTCCCAATGAGCCTACATGTAAAACCTAGTCACATACCTTGTGTGTATTGTAGGATTGGAAACTGAGGACATTTTTGGTATAGATTTGCAAAGCCTCTTTACTATCCTCTGTACCATCTTCTTACTTCTTAGATCCTTCTTTTGCTGGTTATTGGTTCTGTCACAGTCTTACTGAAAACTTCATCAAAATCATATGACAAATGTGATCGCTCAACAACTGTGACTCTATCTATATATCACATTTTTGTTCAATCTTCCATTGGTCATGACAGGGAAGACAGATGCTTTGTACCGTATTTACAGGCTCATTATACCAGGGAAATTCACCTAGCTCTTTTTGACAAGAACAATGAACAGTGGACCTCAGATTAATGTTGACTGTGTCCCAAAAACTGCGACCATTTAGTTTTAGTTTTAGTGTTATTTTCTGACAAACAACATAATCACACACCAGCTGTGCCCCTTCCTCCAGTGAGTCCATGTCTTCCTCAGCCTCAGTACTGGACACAGCAGGAAGCTGCAGATCCTTCCTCATCAGCATTGTGGCGCACATGGCACCCAGGTAAGACAGCTCCTTCTCCAGCTGCACAAGTACCTGAAATATGTTTTTACAACCACGTGTTAAGTCGATGAAGGTTAGACATTCAGGTATTGAGATACAATGACAGTCCCTAAAAAAAGTAGTGAATGCTACTTGAAATGCCTGACAGTTTTCAAATTTTATCCAGTTGCTTGAGTAGCTATTCTCTTGCAGTTGTTCTTATGGCTGCCCATGGTATTGAAAGCTACATGCATTCTGTAGGTTTGGTAGCACAGAAAATTGGGATTTCCACAGAGATGGGTATACAATTGAATAAATGTTGTGAAATACATGTACTTGAGGCTACGAGGCTACTCACCTCTTCCGTTGTTGAGCACCACTCGTACCCGACCACAGAACACTTGAAGCCATAGAAACACAGCTTCTCATCCTTCATGTAGTCTGAGGCTGTCTCCAGGGAGAAGGCAACTTCATTTCCTGCGGGGATGTCAGGGGAAAATTCAGTTCACTCTAGATGAATCAGGAACAATTTGAAGAAATTTCAGACTTATAAACTAGACACTCAGATAACATTTGCGAAGCAAATACATAATACATAAACCTCAATATGGTTTAGCCTAACCAAATACTTCTCTGTTTATTCTTACCCAAACACATTCATTTATATGGTCACTAGCCCTTCAAACCCTGTCCTACCACTTGCTGCATAATGTAATCTAACACCAAAGGATGTCTGCTACAGCATCAGTTACCATGATAGTGACAGGTCCAGGTCATTGACCTCATGTGTTTAGAGACGACAAGTAAAAGGATAAAAAACAATATATTCTCCTTCTGCAAAGCTAAACATAACTATACACTATACAGACATCCCAAACACAAACAAACAGTAAAAAAACAAACAGAATTCCCACCTGGAAGAACGACCGCCCCGTTTGGCCAGGTGTCGACGCCGTGGAATTTCTTCAGCACAGGCCACCAGCCGCTGGCCTGCGGGCTGTCCTCCCAGACGGCGCCCTTCCTGAAGTGCCTGCCGGGGATGTACAGCTGAAGGCTGTCCTCGGGCTGGGCTGTCCCGCACTGGGGGTCAAACTCTACTGCCATCCACTTCACACTGCTGGGGAAGCAGATCTGGAGGGGGGGGGGAACAAACAGTTAGAGCAGACAAGAACTCAGCACAAAGACAAAACAAGAAGGGAAAATTTCAGACTTCCAGGAGGAGTTTAGGTCAAACTCTACTGCCATCCACTTCACACTGCTGGGGAAGCAGATCGTGGGGGGGGGGGGGGACACGGTTAGCAGTGTCATGAATGTATGGAGAAGTCATCATGCAAACCATGAAAATGAGACCACTGCAAAAGTTTTACAATTTACAGTAACAGCCATACAGTGCTGGGGATGGAAGCCTGATGGGGGAACACAGTTAGAAGTTCTAGATGTAACAACAGTCAGCACCAAAAGAACAAAAGAAGATGGGAATTTTACACTTATGACATGTTTTATTATTTTTTTGTAACACAAATATATATTTGAACTGTGGAGGACATTGTATGCAAGTCTTACGATTAACATTAACTGTTATGGTATCACATTTACTGAATGGAAATTGAAAAAAAACAGCACCAAATTCAGCACCAAGGACAGATGCTTTGATTTAAAAAATTGCATGAATCTGTATCAGAATCCGTATTCCGTATCTGCATAAAGCTAGTATAAATTCCCCTTAGTGTAGCACACTGGCGAATCACTTGGGATAATCAGCTAATAATACAGCCTGAAATGTCCCACCTTGTAGTGTGCAACAGTCGCAGGCTTGTATGGATGCTCACTCTCCACCATGGCGTAGTGTGCAGACGTGGTGTTGGTGCTCCCCTCCAGCAAGGTAGCCTCGATGGACTGAGCTGACTGGTTGAGGACGGGAGGGGGCGGGGCGTACCTCTGGTTGAGGGAGGCTACGGCAGGCAGGACATCCTGCACCAGGGACAGCACCTGGACTGACGTCTGGGAATATAGAAGGTCGATTTCAGTGTTACATAAAGACACAAAGGCCCAAACAAACCTCTCAACGTAAAGGTAACATTTGCTTTGCAAATGCATTATGTATACCTTTACATCTTGCCTATCAAACTACTGCTCTGCTACTGTTTATTCTTACTCAAATGCATCTAAATATGTATGGGACCAGCCCCTCCAGGCATGTCCTGCCACTTGCTACATAATGTAATCCAATACCACAGGGTATCTGCTACAGCACCAGTTACCATGGTGACAGACGTCTGGTTCAGGACTTCATTTTTTTGAGAAAAAAGAAGAGGAAGAAAAAGAAACAGAGTAAAAACAATGTTTTCCTTCTGTGAACAACATGTCCCTTACCCTTGGATCTGAAGACGCCACAGGACCCAGGTTTGCCAGTAGCAGTGGCAGCAGGGATGACAGGATGTGGGCAGAGCCAAGCACTTCCATCACCTCCATTTCTGCAATCACAGAGAAAAATACACTTAAAAACAGTGTAAAATTACATGAATAGTCATGCTCGTGTCCTGAAAAATTCAGCTGTTTGGGATGTAAAAGGCTGCCTTAGATCCTATTTGGGGGTTGATTCTGTTGCTGATTGCTCCAAAATCATACAATAACCCATTACGAATGTGACCAGGCAGACTTGAGGACTGCACACGTACAAACTAAACCAGAGCTACCCAAAGCAAATACTTCTGTTCCAGAAGTAACAGAAACTATATGTACTTACCAGGTGTGACCAGAGCTTTCCTGAGGATGTCTGTGGCAGACTTGAGGACTGCATACGCACAAACTAAACCAGCACCCCCCCAAAACAATACTTCCGGGTCTATCTATACTCACCAGGTGTGACTAGAGCCCTCCTGAGGATGTCTGTGGCAGACTTGAGGACTGCTGTGGCCACAGACAGCACAGTTCTCCTGGAGTGGGACTCGGCCATCAGGCGGCTGCTTTGGGCTGCATGGGCCTCGCCTTCCTGGGGAGTTCTACAGAAAACAAGGCAGAACAAAACCTTACAGTAGGAAGATTTAAAACTCTACATGACTGTATAACTGTACATGAAGGAATAAAGTTACCAACTAGAAACTTAAGGTAACATTTATAAAGCAAATGCATAATGTTTTCCTTCACATGGTCTAGCCCATGAAACTACATGTACTACACAACTATGGTTATTCCTACTCAAAACACATTCATTATACATGTACTAGTGTACATGTATATGGTGTCTGGTGACCATCCCCTCCAACTCTGTCCTGCCACTTGCTACATAATGTATTCCAACACCACAGGGTGTCCGCTACAGCACCAGTTACCTAAGTATAGAATGTTGGGTCTAGTTTGTTTGTTTGTCTGTTTGTTTGTTTGTTTACCTGTAGTAGATAATGTTGGGGATCTGTCCTTGTGTTTGTTTTTGTTTGTTTGTTTGTTTACCTGTAGTAGAGAATGTTGTTTGTTTGTTTACCTGTAGTAGAGAATGTTGGGGATCTGTCCTCTGGTCTGATTGGTCCCGTTGCTGCTGAGGGAACAGGAGCTGAAGGTAAAGGTGACGCCGTCCGGACTCCTGACCGTGGGCAGCCCGCCGTCTCCATTTGCCGTCCTGCCGCCATGATTTCTCACCCTCACAGCGTACTTCACACCCTCCTAGACAGGCAGAATGGGGAATAATGTCAGCCTCACCATCTGGGCTGCACACTTACACATCTATCACATTTACCTTTTCCAAACCTGGCCTCAAAATCCTTCTTTCTACATGTACATACGTGCACTGGTGCAGGTAACATTGAAAATTACCTGTACCTGCACCACTCAGAATTTCACACTTTCCTGCACAGGCAGAATGGGAATTAATGTCGGCCTTACCATCTGGGCTGCACAGTTACACATCAATCAGCCCTGTCTACACCTTACATTGTGATGTATAGGAAATGCATTGAGCTTGAGCGCATTGAGCTTGACAGCTCTAAAATTAATTTTAACATCTGGCTAACTGGAGCAATCAATTTAAGCAGTCTATTCCACAACCTACATTTTGATAACATAGAAAATGCAGAACTTTTCTCTCTATTTCTCTTCTGTACTCTTTAGCCCAATGGCTAATCTTACAGGGTTCAAATCAAAGTACAAATTACACAATATAAAGACATGGTAAGAAAAAATACGCAAGTCATAATTACAAAAAATTAAAACATACAAATTAAAGTAACATTATTTACAAACTGATTACAAACTTGAGTGTCAACAGAGTTCCTGCAGACTGAAATTATGACTAGGGGTATGAGTGTTGACCAGATGGTGGATGGCCAATATCTATATTATGATCTAAATGGTGTTCAGCTTGACAGCTATAGAATTAATATTAACGGAAATGTCAGTTTAAATCTGGCCACTCGGAGCACAAATCTTCCTGTCTGGTGCAGCTGCTGACTGACCTTGATGGGGACGGGTCGTTCGAACTTGACCTCGGCGGCATCGTTCACACAGTCCTCCGGGTAGTACGTGCCCTTGACCAGCTCCAAGGTCGTCCAGCGCTGGGTGTGGGAACCATCACCGATGTCACTCTGGAAGAATAAGCATGAAATAAGCCTGTGTTCCACAACCTTTTACTGTCAGGGGCTGATAGGGCCTCCTGCCTTACAGCTTGTGGCCATTCACCTTATTCCCATTCCAAGAACTTCATTTTACCAATAGGATCTCAGGATTCTCTGTATCTATGTTAAGCAGCTATCACAGCCTCCATGCAACACTGTGGTTCACAGTCAGCTAAGACTTGATCCATAAATTAACATAACACTGACACTTCTGTTAATTCTTGCAGAGCTTGTAAGTCTACACCTAACACTTATTTCAACCTGTACAAGTGGCTACCTTAGTCTACATATTGGGGGCCACCTGGCCAATGTGACCAATTTTTGGTGGTCCCTTTTTGACAAAGCATCTTACGATTGTGTATATTTTTCCCCTTTACATGTACCAGAACTGTCACTACATTAGCATACTTGAATGTGCAAACTGTACTACATGACAATCGTGAATCTACCAACAGATATTCACCACACCAGCTCACCTCACTAGAATCGAGCAGCTCGAGTTCGTAGTCGTGCTGCCCCCCTCCCCCGTACAGCATGGCGCCGACCACCACCACGCCCGGCTTGTCTACGCTGAAGCAGACGGCGTCCGGCGAACCGTTTCCTGTGTTCCAGCTCTTCCCCTGGCTCACCCGCGCAAACCGCGACGGCGTGCACGAAACAGGCATCGTCGAACGCTGGATCTCATTCTGAAAAAGATAGTATTAATCATCATGTAATACTCCGGTATTATTACACCATGGTTAATTCGTTTTTAGTGTTCCAGCTCTTCCCCTGGCTCACCCGCACAAACCGCGACGGCGTGCACGACACGGGCATTGTCGAACGCTGGATCTCGTTCTAAAAAAGATAGTAAATCATTATGTAATGATGTAACTTCGGTATTACACAATGCTAATGCGTTTCCCGTGTTCCAGCTCTTCCCCTGGCTCACCCGCACAAACCGAGACGGCGTGCACGACACGGGCATTGTCGAACGCTGGATCTCGTTCTAAAAAAGATAGTAAATCATTATGTAATGATGTAACTTCGGTATTACACAATGGTTAATGCGTTTCCCGTGTTCCAGCTCTTCCCCTGGCTCACCCGCGCAAACCGCGACGGCGTGCATGAAACGGGCATCGTCGACCGCTGGATCTCGTTCTGAAAGGTAACCAACGTCACGTAAATCATCACGAGATGTTGATACTTTGAAACATTTTCTAAGAAAACAAATTTCATGAATTCAGCTTTGGGATGTCCCTTTGTAGGCACTTGCAGGAATCTCTGGATCTTGTTCTGGAAGGTAATTCATAATCATGCTATCATAAATATGATAAAACTCACTCTCAGACTGGTACTACATAGTGGTTTATGTTAACTTTCAGTTTGAATTTTCATACCATGCATTTCACATTCCTGGTGACATCCTACCACATCCACCTAGGGCATACTTGGCTACAACCCTGTCAATCAACTGCGATCCATCACTTCCAATTCTTGCTACTGAGGACAGGGTACATGTACATACTGTATAAACTCCCCTTGAAATAGTGCTGCCCCAAAGTATACTTCTTTCCTGGAAGCAACAAGTAGGAAAGGGATTCTAGTAACTGTGCAGGAAGGAATCATGATATTCTAGCAGAGGTCTCACAACACCATCAGAATCTGATAAGAACTGCTGATACATATTTTAGTTTACAAAGTAGTTGTTGGTGGTTGGCTGTTACCTCTGAGCCAGTTGCAGCAGTAGCCAGTTCTCCAACAATGGCAGCCAGCAGGGCACAGGTGTTACACACCAACGCGTCCGAGTAGTTCACCTCCTCCTGGGGACAACAGGAAAGACACAAAAATAGAATCGCTATTAAAAACTTTAACTTAAACTTAACATCTGCATGGTCTAGCCTAACAAACTAATGCTCTATTTATTCTCACTCATTGATTCATATTATATATCTAGGGACCAGCCATTGATTCATAATATAAATTATGTATAGGAATCAGCCCCTCCATGGCCACTTACTACATAATGTAAGCTAACACCACAGGGTGTCTGCTACAGCACCAGTTACTATGGTGACAGACGTGTGGTCCAGGTCAATGACCTTACGTGTTTAGAGAGGAAGAAAAAGGAACTTTTTTTCTTTCTGTGAACGTAAACCTAACAAGAAGTAATGATAATATGACTCAATAATGAATTTTCCATTCTTATTCCAACTATGAATGTGTCATAATGTCAAGCTAGGAATTTCAGTTCCTTCAAAATCAACCAACCAAAATAAAACGTTTGTCTTAACCAAAGTGAAGTCTTCAAGAAGAGAAATCCGTACCCCACTGAGCTGTATCCTGACTGGAACAACCACGATCGCCAGCAGCTTGTCCAGAACCTCCTTAAAGGTGCAGTGTCCGGTTCCAGCACCCTCCAACTGTGGTGAACAAAACATGCTAAACATTGGGCCACAGTGACTTCGTTATATGGATGACATCTTTGCGTGTGCATCGATTTTCTTCCATTTCCCAAAACTTTTGCCACCATACATAAAACCACAGTGCAAAAGGTTTACAGTACTTAAGCTTTACTTATAGCTCCAGGCTTACCTCTGACTGACCTGTGCCCCCAGTGACTGACCTGTGACCTATGTGACTGACCTATGACCAGTGACTGACCTGTGACCTATGATGGGGAACCTGGTTACAGGGGTGGTGGGGCTGCTGTTGGAGTTACTGACCTATGACCTGTGACTGCCCTATGACCTGACTGACCTGTGACCTGTGCTCCATGTGTTGCACCAGGATGGGGAACCTGACGTTGTCCCTGGTTACGGGTGTGGTGGGGCTGCTGTTGGAGTGACTGACCTGTGACCTATGTGCCTGACCTATGACCTGTGACTGACCTGTGACCTATGCTCCATGTGTATCACCTGGATGGGGAACCTGACGTTGTCCCTGGTTACAGGTGTGGTGGGGCTGCTGTTGGAGTTACTGACCTGTGACCTATAACCTATGACCTGTGACTGACCTGTGACCTGTGCTCCATGTGTTGCACCAGGATGGGGAACCTGACGTTGTCCCTGGTTACGGGTGTGGTGGGGCTGCTGTTGGAGTTGTTCTCGTCAGGACTGTTCGCGGTGGAGGGCAGCTGCGGGTCCGACTCCGACTCCTTCAGGATGGGCAGCAGCGACGTCAGCTTCACCGTCGGGTGGCACAGCGCCGCCATCACCGCTGACAGCAGCCGACCGATTCCCTCGTTCTGCTCTGAACCCTGCAACAACAGCAACACCTCTTATGATCAATGCAGGTCAATGTAGGGAGCATCAGGTGTTTATTATACATATAAGTCATGCACGAAACATGCTTTGCAGTATCTTCATCATGCATAACTTATACCCTTGTTCTGCTCTGAACCTTTATCGGATACAATTGCAGTTTTTTTGCCATCCTGGTTTAACTGTTAGGTTCATTATGAACTAAACCAGTAGTACTCACAGTATATATTGCTAAACATAACTATAGCTTATGCCAGCATGCGTGCACAGTGTCATCTATTATTATAATAAGGCTTACAAATGATAACACTAGCAGCCTCGTGCATGTATTTCAAGTGTTGAAAACTTAAATGATGACTGTGTTCATGCATTTATAAAGTGCCATATGGTAAAACCAACTATAAGAACTAAATAGAAACAACTGTTGCAGAAAGACATTTAGGTTAGAACAGAAAATAAGTAGTTGCAGCAGTGCATGGAGTACAGTAGAAGGCACAAGCACAAGAGACTTTTTCTAATCAGTACTTTTAAGATTTGGTTAACAAAGTGCTGATTTTGTGGAGGAAAACTATGACAGTTTCAGTCCAAGACTGTGTGGAACTCCCTGCCACCACATGTATGAGCAGCCCAGTCATTGGGAACATTTAAAAGTATGATAAGGAACTTGGACTGATAACGGACTTATGATTTACTATTTATTTTTGTATATTTTGATTTGCATTTTGTTTTGATTTTGTATTATATTTTGGTTTGATTTGTAATTCCGTGACCCCGCCCTCACCCTCGACCTTGTTGAAAAGCGGTATGTACCGAACAAGCTTTCGAGATTAAATAAAGGCTTACTACTACTACTACTACTACAGTGAGTTGTAATGTGAGTTGTCTGCCTTACATCAAAACATGCAAAACTTTATATACACACACAACATTGTTCAATAATATTCATTATTTTTTTGAGCATACAATACAATATTCCCAACTGGTAGTATTTTTAACCCTAAAAAAAGACTTGAATGTATACAAGCAGGCATTGAAGGAAATGTGATGAAGCAAGTAATATTCTATTCGTGATTTTATAAACCAGGTCCTTTATTAAACTGTACCGGGCCCGCTAAATAGTGTAATACATGAAAGCATGCTGTTAACTATGTTTCTTAGTAATCATTAATTTGGTAGCAGCATTGCCTTAAATTATATATTAGTAAACCTGCTGCCAGACCTTCATTGGCAGAATGGTCAGTGATACACTGTGATTCTTGCATGCATAGACCACTTTTCACACGTACCACAACAAACATGCTCTCCAAGCAGAGGTTGTGGGGGAATGATTGTTACATTTTTATATATGGCCGATTTTTTTGTCGCTACCTCCACCAACCGTCGGTGGCCGGCGACCTTCTCTGGCTAATGGATACTTCCTGGCCAATTTGATACTGTCTTTTTGCCACCGAAAGGGATCTGCTTGGAGATTATACAAACATGCAACGTCCACATTCAAGTCAGAGCACATCCACTCCGCATGCAACAACACACACAAGCATGCAGAGACGACGACAAGACACAGAGTAGAGAAAACCTAAAGGGGTTACATACGAGGCGTCTTTCCACAGGAGAGTAAGGTCTCACCGGTTCCAACAGGCCCAGCAGGTCGCACAGGCAGACCCACTTCAGGCTGGAGGTGGGGTAGAAGGCGTGGAAGCAGCAGGTGAAGGTGTGGTGGCACTCCTCGAGGACCCGGTTCACCAGCCGCTTGCACGAGTCGTGCGAGGACTCGCGCCGGGAGGGCGTGTGGGACGGGGAGGGCTGCGGCAGGTGGAACATGTTCTCTTCGCACAGGATCTTGCGGAGCACGGCGCGAGTTTCCCCGACACACTCCGAGAGCCTGGCGGACTCCGGTGGGGTCTTTTTGCTGAGGGCTGTAAGAAAGAATGAGATGTCTATCAACAAAAGTACAGCAAGGTCTTCTATAACTATTCCTATTAATAGTAATAACAAACAAGTGGATACAAAAGAAGGGGAAACTTTGTCACTATAGAAACCAAGATAACAGTCCCTAACACATTCTGATAGCCTGTTGGACTCTGGTGGGGTCTTTTTACTCAGGGCTGGAAGAAAGAATTCAGAGTTATCTTTATAGTGTGGGACGGGGAGGGCTGCGGCAGGTGGAACATGTTCTCCTCGCACAGGATCTTGCGGAGCACGGCGCGAGTTTCCCCAACGCACTCCGAGAGTCTGGCGGACTCTGGTGGCGTCTTTTTACTCAGGGCTGGAAAAAGAATTCAAAGTTATTATTATTGACAGTATGGTAGCTTTGGTATTCCACAACAACACCTATAAACTAACAAAGAAAGGAGGAGGTCCATGTGGAGGTGGAGGAGGAGCTCAGAATTTCTGTCACTATGGAAACCAGGATAACAGCCCCCAACACTATGGTCACAGACAGTTTCCCTGATGCATCACAAGAGTTAGGTACTACAGATAATGCTCTTACTACATTTTGTACTACTGTAGATGAAAAAGAACAGAAAATAGCACAGTCATTTGTGCAAACTTACATCTGTTTGGATAGGATGCAGCATTGAGAAGGTTAATAACAGCCATGCGTTGATGAAGGTTAGACATCCAGGTAAACGATACTCGTAAGAAAATTCAAACTCTACTACTGGATCAGTTAACGGATTTATTTCCGGACGTTTCGAGTGACATCCATCACTCTTCTTCAGCGTCACAAATGAACAGAGAACCGATTCACTCTTATATACAAGTAACTAGAAAAACCGGTTAAACAACAAGGTCCGTAAGAAGCTTTATCATGTAAAAGAACGGTTCACTCAATGTACAGGAATTAGAACTAGAAGGAGGAACCATAGGAACCTTCCTTACATGACAAAGACTCTTACGGTTGTTGAACAGGTTTTTCTAGTTCTAATTCCTGTACATTGAGTGAACCGTTCTTTTACATGATAAAGCTTCTTACGGACCTTGTTGTTTAACCGGTTTTTCTAGTTACTTGTATATAAGAGTGAATCGGTTCTCTGTTCATTTGTGACGCTGAAGAAGAGTGATGGATGTCACTCGAAACGTCCGGAAATAAATCCGTTAACTGATCCAGTAGTAGAGTTTGAATTTTCTTACGAATAACAGCCATGGTTTCAGCACTAGGGACATGGCCATTAACAAGCTGATGTACTGACAAACACCAGTCTGTCCAAGTTTAGGCTAGGGTTGGGGTTTTTGTGTAAATGGAGAAGTTAAATAAAGACTTACGTCCATTGGGATAGACCTCGCTGATGTACCTCCTGAGTAGCCTCATGCAGGCCGTACTGACGAACACCAGTCTGTCCAGGTCAAGTAGAGCCGCCGTGAAGTGCACGCCCTTTAACCCCTGCAGCTCTTCTACGCCAAGTTTGAAGGTCGCCCAACTCCACCTCAGAAGGTCTAGCAGAGACTCAAAACAGCTCTGAAGAAAAAAGAAAATTGTTATATTAGATTTAACACTTCCAGAAAGTGTTTCGGGTATCTGTGAATGTATAGAAACTGCATCATGGTATGATCACTGGGGAAATATCCCAGTATTGGAACTGTATTGTATGATCATGGGGAAATACCCGATTGAAGTGCATCATATAGCCATGTTTTCATATTTGTTCCATTTTCTGTTCCATGATTACACAGTACACATTCCTGATGACCTCATGCCATATTTAACCACCCAGAGCATACCAGGTCACAACCCTGTCAATCCACTGAAGCCCAATCTCTGCCCACCCACTTCCAATCCTCCGCATACTACAGATAATCGCCGCAATTTATGCCACTTTTGAATAGCCTAGAGGGTTTAAATTAGCCGCCCCAGAGACCCTACTCAGGACAAGATACACACAAACTCCCCCTAAACCAGTGCCACCCAAAACAATACTTCTGTCCCAGAGGTAAATAGAGACTGCAATTGTATGTAACATGTAGGGAGGGGGGGTACAAAAATGTACTTAACATTAAGGCTAGTAATTCCATATTAACATCTTACAGGTGAAACAGATCTGGAGAAATCCCTGGAAAGGATGTGCACAGGCTCCATCTGGCACTTCACTCCATTACTGCAGTTGGAATCCAGGGTTGGAAGTCTGCAAAACGTAACAAGAAAATTCACATCAAATCTTAGAAGACTTGGTGTTTATTCTTACTTGCCAATGGTGTTCAGGAGTAGTAAAAATATTTATATTCAAATTTGAGCTTGGCCTTTTAATGCCTATTTTGATAAAGGAAAATCAGCTCTGTGACTGGTAACGTCCTTCTGTAGAAAAGGGACGGTTTTACTAGTACATTGTATACCTCATACATATTGATCAATTTACAAAGCATTTAGAGCTTAGAAGGCTATAACAAAAGTATTGATTTAAAAAAATATCGCTACTATAAGGAATCTGGCTTTCGATTTGAATTTTGGACAATGATTTTGCTTTGACATAATATCAAATTTTGTTTGTTCCTACTGAAAGTTGTCGACTTTAGTCTCCTGACTGAATGCAACATGTCTTGTCCTGTATATGCTGGGTCCCCTTAGAAATCAGGCTTTTACAAGTTGAATGTGCTACCTTGCAGTATCTTGTGCTGAAATAAAAAAAATGACTATAAGTAAATAACTGATGTAGAGGAATGTAATTCGATCTGCCCACCTGTACAGCAGTTGTGGAATTTGGCCGGCGTTCACGTCTGTCCCGTTATTGGACTTTCTGGAACTCTTGAACTGGAAAACCACCCTGCATTTTTGAAGAAATACAATACACTGTAGACTCTGCCTGGACCTGTGCCACTAGTCATAATCAATAACATGTCATTGGTGTATTTCTAACATTATAGCCACTGGCTATGTAGCTACACCATGCTGTTAACCAAATTACCTTTTAATGTATATACTTACTGTTTCAGAACTAGTCATATAAGGCATCTATGCTTTTACATTATTGTCATATGGCTACTTTTTACACTTAACTAAAATTTATGAGATTATAGAATTGACATTTTTCTTGACACTAGAGACAGTGTAACCTCCATTTACATGCTTGAGAGGTCAAACAGCTTCTTTCGACACTTAACTGAAATCTATATTATGACATTTTTTCTTGACACTAGACGATGTAACCTCGATTAACATCTATCAGCAAGGTTACATATATATCTGGCAATATTGAAAAACTGAATGCTTGGGAGGTCTCTAGTGTAGCACTCCCAGGTATGCACAGTTTAGATATTCAAGTGAGCATTATATTCGGAGATTTTACATTAGGGAAGACGTCAAAAGCTTGAAACTGCAGAAGGCCAACCCGCTAGACAGAAGCAGCTGGAGAGCAGCTATTAGACCTAAACGACACCCCACGACGTCCAACCCTTGCATGACGGGGAACAATGGAAGTTAAGCCGTGCAGTGATTGAGTGAGTGAGTTAAAGTTACATTTGGGATTTGATGCATTTTTCAGGATTACAGAATGATGTATTTAACCTGGAGGAATCATGTCTAGACTTCTACTATACAGTAACTGTGGAAAACAAAACAAAACATGGTCTGCCCACTGGCCCCACAGTCAGAGCTGGGTCCCGACACCCTGGCCCACCCCACATACCAGTTATTAGCAACCCAGGTATCAGTTTGCAAGAAACTTTATCAAAAACACGATGTCTCTGTAATACTTACTGGTCGTCTGTAGTGACCATGGTCTGTCCACTGGCCCCACAGTCAGAGCTGGGTCCAGACACCCTGGCCCACCCCACATACCAGTTGTTAGCAGTCAGTAAGATGGGCTCCTCAAACAGAATGGCATACTTCTCCCTGAAAAAACACATACACACACTTGTGTTAGAAAAACAATGAAAAGACTGTATACACAATGGTACAGCATGTAGGAAGCTCAACTTAATTACAAATCAATGGTTTATCTACTTTCTGAGCAAATGTGCCCAACAATAGCAACCCAAAAGGCTAAATAATTTTATTGAAGTTTGTGTTAAAATTGTAGCATTGACCTTAAAGTCAGTAAAGCAGTTAAAAGTAGCATGTTACAATGCAACATCTATTAATCATACATAATCATCTGCTTCACATTTAATGGCTATTATGGTAAAAACCAAAGATAGCATAGGTGACAATTACATGTTCAGCATGCAAACAACGAATGTCAAATGTTAAGATATTAGCTCTACTATCTAGTGATGATGTACTTGGTGGCAGTGAGTTCCACTCTATGATAGTTCTGGTAAAAAAATGAGTTTTTGACCCCACCTGGATCCACACTCGTAGGTCATGTCGTCAGTTTCACACAGAAGGTCACCGTCACCTTCATGTTCTCCTCCTTCTGTTCCAAGGTCAAACAGCTGGAACAATCAACAACCATCTGAACAGTCTGACAAACTTAGATAGTCCTTCAAACTTGTGCTTGCTGATTTTCATAACAGATCAGACAAAGGGTTGTCCTAGCAGTTTTTAACCATAAATCTTCCATATTGTACACATATTCCAAAAAGCAGTTACTCAAGCAACTGGATATGATTTTGGAAACAGTCAGACGTTTTAGCTAGTATCCACTAGCTTTCGTCAGTGATCAGAGACCAGAGGAGAATTGCACATGTACTGTTATGTTCCTTCAAAGCACAATAAAGTTAAAGATAATTTAACTCCCCCAAATGTCCAACTGAAGGGTCTTCGTTAAAGCAGGCCAACTTGGCGAGACCTATATATGTCTGCAGCCGCCATGCCTCACACCTTGATGCTTTCAAATTAACAAATTGCAAGGGGAAGAGTGGACTGGTAACTAAAGATGTTCCTTGTACCTTGATCTTTGCTGTGTACTCTCCCCTGCCTCCGAACAGGCCAAAGCCCCCGAGGATGATGTCAGCGTCGGCAGTGAACCTGACGGCCTCGACAGAGTGAACCGAGTAACCCCAGCCTCCTCCATGACCTGTGAAATAGGCAGGGTAGATATTTGTAATGACATTGGCATTTATAAGCAGCCTCAACAGAAAATTTCCCATCCCTAAACAAGCTGCTAGCAAACCCAAAAGCAGACAAAGTCTCATTGATGCAAAACTTACCCACCAACATGTACCAGGTTTCATTGACTTCTTGAGTCACACACCTGCGCATGCACACACACATACGTACACACACACGCATGCGCACATACACACACACACAAACATGCATGCTCACACACACACACGCACACACATGCACACACACTTACACACACACAGACACACACGGACACACACACACACGTACGTACATGCACATACACACACACGTACATACATGCACACAATATGGAATCTGTTGATGACGTTGTAATCTTCCTTGGAGAATATCCTGGTCACGCTGTGCACATTTGTCACACACACACGCCCGCGCGCGTGCACGCACACACACACACATACGTACACATATGTACACACACACGCACACACACACACACACACGCGCACACACACACATGCGCACACACACACACACACACACACACACACACACACAGACACACATGCACACACATACATGCCCGCACTCACACATACACATTTAGAGACTGAATCGGCTTACTGTCGAATCTGTTGACAGTGTTGTAATCCTCCTTGGAGAATATCCTGGCCACGCTGTGCACTTTTGTCACACACACACACACACACGCACGCACGCACGCACACACACAGACACACACACGCACACACACACACAGACACACACACACACAGACACACACACACAGACACACACACGCGCACGCACACACACACACATACACATACACACACACACACACACACACATTCACACACACACACATTCACACACACACATTTAGAGACTGAATCGGCTTACTATCGAATCTGTTGACGGCGTTGTAATCCTCCTTGGAGAATATCCTGGCCACACTGTGCACGTCCTGGGCCTGCTCCGTCACCGCGAAGCCGAAGTCCTGACACACCGTCAGCGTATCCAGGCAACCGAGGAGGTGCAGCGCGCTGTGAGACCTCGTTGTCATGGCAACAGGGACTGCGGAGGGAAAAAACAAATGAATAAAATTTTACGGCTCTCAGTGGCAAATGTACTGATGTTGACACGTTGCTGCACCAAATCCCTAGCGTGTTTTTGGCACACATTTTGATAGGCGCTCGGTGGGTGTCACTCCACCATACAGGGAGGGAAGTCATGTAAAACACCTTTCCCAAGGGCACAGCAAGTATCGAACCCAGGATCTATTGGTTCTGAGTCCAAAGCTCTAACCATTGCACTAGAGACGTCACTAGGGAGAGAGGGTAAGGCTTAATGGACGACCGTTTCCAATATGCCGGTTTTACGGGAGATAGTGGAGGTACTATAAGTGCTTAGAGCTGATCTCACCTGATATGCTATAACCACCTTTATGGTACAGGTGGGGATAGACACATATAAACGTAGGTGAAAAGGTAAAGACAATGGCAACAGGGACTACAAAGAGAACATAAGGCTTAACGGACAACCATTTCCGATACGCAGGTTTAGTGAAGATAGTAAAAAAAACACTCAGTTCCTTTGACCTCATCTTATGTGTTGTTAACACCTTTGTTGTACATTTGGGGATAGACACGTAGAGGTGAAAAGGTAAGATGGTATCTAGTATTCAGCACAGTTAGTTATTAATAGGATAATAGAATAGTGAGATATAGTAAGACACACAGCTTTAGTGGAGATATGAGTAGTGGAGGGACAGGTGGTTACAGCTGACCTCACCTGAGGCTATAAGTATAACCAACTGTACCATAAAGGGACAGACACATAAACACACTCAGGTGAAAAGATAAGATTTCGGTACTGGTTGTCCCAAGGTAAGGCTTAATTGAGACATGCAGGTTTAGTGGAGATAGTGGAGGAACAGTGGTTACAGCACATGGGTTCCCTTGACCTCATCTTATGTGTTGTTAACACCTTTGTTGTACATGTGGGGATAGACACGTAGAGGTGAAAAGGTAAGAAGAGTATCTAGTATTCAGCACAGTTACTTATTAATAGGATAGTGAGACACACAGCCTTAGTGGAGATAACAGAGAAACAGGTGGTTACAGCTGACCTCACGTAGACATATGCTATAAACACCTTTATGGTACAGCCATTTACTGAAAATATTGACTGACTTCAATTTGATGTGTAACTATCCATGCGTAACATCTTCACATGACCAGCCCCTGTAACTTGCTAAATGATGCAACACAACACCCCACGGTGTCTGCTACAGCACCAGCTATAATCATGATGACTGACCTTACAGTGTGGATGTGTGTTTAGTGAAGAAGAAGAAACTGAGCAAAAACAATTTGTCTTCCTTCTACTTACTAAAGGTAAACATACATGTAACATACAACTGACCTGTTGGCAGGACGAGCTCGGGGCTGAGGAGGTTACAGGTTCCCGTTCTGTCCGACTCCTGAGGCGGGAAATCTCGCACTTCCCCGGCCGTGGCGTTGTAACACGACACCACGTACGTGTTGGGCTGGTATCTGGGGGCCGAACAAAACAGTCATGCAACAACCACAGCCAGAAAGGTAGGTAACATTTATTTGCAAAGCACAGTCATACTGTAATACCTTTGCATGGTCTAGGCTATCAAACTACTGCTCTGCACATTCATATAATATGATGACATGAGTCCAACTCTGTCCTGACACTTGCTACATAATGTAATCCAACACCAAAAGGTGTCAGTTACAGCACCAGTTACCATGGTGGTGACAATCATGTGGTCCAGGCCATTGACCTTATAGGTTTCTGTATCTGTATCAGATTCTGTATCCTGTAATGCCAGTATAACCGTCTTTTGGCAAAACACATCTTCAGTTAAGAAGGTATGAGAAGAAGAAGGAACAGAGCCAAAAAAAAAAGTGTTTTTTCTTCTGCGAAGGTAAACAATTACAAGTACTGACCTCCATAGAACTCCATGCATGGGATCAAGGCACAAGCAGCTGTCGGTGAGGTCTGCCTGGTTGCCACCTGAGAAGCTGCAGAAAACAGGTGTCCTTCTATCAGGACAGTCAACAACAGTAAACAACTAGAAAACCTAACTTCTTAGCAAGACAGGAAACACATACAAACTCACCGGTATAAGCCACCCAAAACAATACTCCCACACAGGTGTCCTTCTATCAGGACAGTCAACAGCAGGGTAAACAACTAGAAAACCTAACTTCTTAGCAAGACAGGAAACACACACAAACTCACCGGTATATAAGCCACCCAAAACAATACTCCCACACAGGTGTCCTTCTATCAGGACAGTCAACAGCAGGGTAAACAACTAGAAAACCTAACTTCTCATACAAACTCACCAGTATAAGCCACCCAAAACAATACTTCCATATCCAGAAGTACAGTAAACAGACATGTTCCTCAAAGTAAGAAACAGTGCAACATATCTAACCTCCACAAACACAACGTTACATACAAACAGGGGCTAAAACTGACTGCTGGAGACACTTCAATGTGACTTAGGCTTCAAGACATGTCAACTTGAGATTAGGGTCTAAGAACTCATGTCCTTCTTTTAGAACAGTCAATATGTCAGTGTAAAAAAAACTTAGCTACCGTGAACCTTTTTTTGGAACAGTCTACCAGACACACACATAACACCAACTCTCAACTAAAACATGAATTTTGTGTCATTCTTGTGCATGATACTAAAATGCTGAACCATTGAAGCTCCTAATTTTGGAGTCCTTAACCATATATTAGACAATACACTACAGGTGCTCGACTGCTACCTTAAAAAAAGTCCCACCTTTTGCACGTGCCATCAGCTTTACTGATGAAGAGGGATCGGCCTGGCACAGCTGGCCCGTCACCTTCCAGATCTACCACCACACCTGCACACACAGACAAAGGGACAGTCGTGTAACAGTTATACAGTAGATGTAGATGAGTCTCAATGTGAATCATTACAATGTTACGCTGTATGCTATACTAACAACAAAAATTTCTTTGTTCTATCATATGACTTACATGCATTGACATGTCTCAACAACAATTCAGCCCATTGGGTGCCACTATTGGACAATATGTCATGTAGTTGGAAGACCATAAAATTCAGGTTTATTCATGAACAATCCTTACTTTTCTTTGTTACGTAAGGTTTTCTTTGTTACTTAAGATTTCCTTTTGGTCATCTCAAGCCTGAAATCTTCTCAATACTTTGCAATAAAACCCTACAGATTGACGCTAAGCAAGCTACAATGTACTGTGCACATGTAGATTCTTACCTGTTTAAAGTTAAAACTTTTGGTCCAACAAAAAATTCTCTCACCTAGAGCTCACCGAGAATACGGTGTATTCAATGAGCAACTGAAATATGGTGCACCTGGCTTGACGAAAACCCTGGAAACTCTCTTCGCCAAGATTTGGCATGGCGAGGCTATCCCCGAGGATTGGTCCAAAGGCATAATTGTTGTATTACCAAAAAAGGGGGATACTACACACTGCGCCAACAATCGAGGTATAACGCTTAGATCAACTGCCTCAAAGCTCTTTCAAATTATTGTCCTGGGACGTCTGAATGAGGGTCTGGAAAATCTACTGAGGGACAATCAGTGTGGCTTTAGGAAGAATAGATCGTGCATCGACCAGATTTACTCCTTGCGAACTATCATTCATAACAGCATCGAGTTTAATATTCCTCTGTACATTAACTTCATTGACTTTAAAGCTGCTTTTGACAGCATCAACCGTGAATTTATCTGGAAGGCCTTTGCTTTTTATGGATTGCCAGGAAAATACATCAGGGTTTTGCAGGCCTTCTTCCACAAGACTGTCAGTGCAGTGAGAGTGAACGGAGAGGAATCAAACTGGTTCGATGTGACATCTGGGACTGGACAAGGGGACATTCAAGGGCCCCCAGTGTTTAATGCTTGCATAAACCTGGCAGCACACTTAACTGAGATAAGCAAACAAATCAGTACAGGTGCAGTGTTGCAGCGGGATAGTCATGGCAAGTCGACGGTCTCTGTTTTGGATACGGACTATGCTGATGACATGGCTTTACTTGACAACAAGAAACTGGGTCTACAGGAGACAACTGATCTGTTATGCAAAAACAGTGCTCTTGCGGGACTTAAGGCCAACGCCAAAAAGACGCAAGCTATGACAGTCGGCAAGCATATTGCACAGCAACCTTACACTGAAGAAAGCACACTCAGGATCACGGTAGATGGACATCCCGTGGAGCAGGTTACTCACTTTACTTACCTGGGAGGTACAATCAGCAGTAATGGGACAATTGACTCTGAAATTTCCAAACGGATTCAGAAAGCTTCTGGTGCTTTTAACTTACTTGGTAAGATCTGGAACAACAGGAACATCCTTCAGTCGACAAAATTTCGGATATACAATGCTGCTGTTGTCACCATACTTACCTACGGTAGTGAAACTTGGACTACTACCCAGGTGCAGATAGCGAGACTTGAAACGTTTCATCAACGCTGTTTGCGCCGTATCCTCCGCATCAGATGGTATCACCGGGTACGGAACAGTGATGTACTGCTGCAGGCACAGTTAGTGAACATAGCCACAACCGTAGCTTTCAACAGGCTTAGGTGGTTTGGGCACATTGTAAGAATGCCTGAAGAGCGGCTGCCCAGGTATCTACTAGACTGGAAACCGAACTATGGGCGACGCTCTAGGGGAAGGCCTAGGAAGTCATGGAATAACTGTGTCCTGGAAGATGCTGTGCTGATCTTAGGGAGGCCCAGTACCAGTCTAGAAGAGTTAAAGGAATTAGCAAGAGATAGGAAGGAGTGGAGAGGACTGTTGAGGAAGAGACGAGTTCTGTGCGCAGGCCACTCGAACGACTGACTCGAGGAGACCTCAACAAGTACAAGTACAAGTACAAGTAAGTAAGAGCTTTCGACCAGTCACTCTGGTCTTCCTCAGTAGACTGACCCAATGAGGCTTGTCACATGGCTTCTTTGAAGTGTGAACCAAAAGTTTTAACTTTCAACATGTAACTACCAACACAGATGAACTTTCATGATAGATTCTTACCTATGCACTTCTGGTCGGCAAACAGCGTGGCGTCAGCTAGTGTTCTTGCATTGATGAGTGACTCGTCGATTTTGATGAAGGTCTGGTCCCCGGATGCCCCCACCCACGTGGCCCGGCGGCCGAACTTGGCCCCCACCCCCGTCACCAGGCCAGGCTCCGTGTTCCCCGCCTGCCATGACCCAAGCTCCCTCCCCAGTTGCCCCTTCTGTTGGTGCAAGGCAGACAACAAAAGAACGTTAAATAATAGAAACTTTAGAAACATAATGTTAACCTTCATACATGGTCTATAGAGCAAACTATACTGCTCTGTTTACTCTTGCTCCTTGCTCAAACACATTCGCCAAAGTATGTGTTGGTTTGGAATCTGGGGGACAACAAATATACATGTAGCTACAACTACAAACTTATTAATATCATGGTAACATTTAAAAAACAAATACATAATGTTTACCTTTACATGGTATGGCCTAACTAGTGCTTTGTTTATTTTTAAGGGGATATGAGTCCAACTCTGATCTGTCACTTGCTACATAATGTGACTCAACAGCAAAGGGTGTCTGCTACAGCACCAGTTGCCATGGTGTCTGGTCCAGGTCATCGACCTTTTGTGTTTGGAGAAGACAATAAAAAAAAGTAGAAGAAACATGCAGAGCAAAAACAAAATGTTTTATTTTTTTTTCTTTGAAGGTAAATATAGCTTATATGCTAACTGATTAGCAGTAAGACGCAGAGATTATGCATCATAAGACAGGCTACTCACTGCAAAAGCCCCGAAAGTGTAGACGTTGCCCTGAGATGTGAGGATGACGGTGTGGTTACTCCCGGCTGCCACCTGAACTGCTCTCTCTGGAAGCTCCACTCTGACAGGAAGACCCCTACAGGTAAAATTAGTAATAAGTAGAAATTCAAGCTAACATTTACAAAGCAAATTGCCTTATGTGCAGCTTTACATGGTCTAACCTAACAAAATAACTGCTCTGTTTATTCTTACAACCCTATACAACAAAGAACTGACGTATCACTAGTTTTATTTTTCCTAAACCTCATCTGTATATAGTTTTTTGCTTGGTACAAATTCTTTATGTATTATAGTGTATATGAGGGTCTGTATATAGTGTTTGTTTTGCCTATTGTAACTTTTATTTTCTGTACGCAAACTCTTTCAATTCAGGGATTCTCATCCCTGCTGCAAGGTTTGCTTTTGGTGTTGAAATAAACTATCATACTCTCAAACACACTCAGTGGCATATATTTGGTGACCAGCCCCTCCAACTCTGTCCTGCAACTTGCTACATAATGGATGCCACGGATTATATGATCATCATGTAATTTGATCGGGTATAACACCTATGACATACCTGTTGTGGCTGTCCTTGCACCCTAGCTGTCCCATCTGGTTGTTACCAAAGGTGTAAACTTCACCATTCTGCAGCAAAACAACTGGCAACAAGAAAAAAAAATATTTACATTAAATACCAAAAGCAGCCCCTTTCTTTGTTCAGACATTGTGTTCATAGCTGATTTTATGACAATTTGGACAATGACTATTAGTAAGTATATCCTGGCATGATTTATATCTGCTGGTATATAGATGGGATAAGCCTTTAACATAATAATTTTACATTCAGTTCCGCAGACACACGGGATAGTGCATGGCAACTGACTATATTACAGTCAACAGTTCTGCATATCACAGGTACCTAACCTTTGCACATCTGACTGCAAGGGTTATTTATATATAATTATAAGCTTAACCTGGTGGGAGTGCCTCTAAAGTACTTAACTTGGTGACAGCAAATTCCATTCAATAGTGCTATAGGGTTGACAACTCTGGTGCTTAAAGACCCTATGAAACGTGATTGAGTTGCAGGACTAATATACATTTCTCATCCTCTTCTGTCAATGAGCTGATATTAGGTACTAAGTTCTAGTTGGTAAGCTTGAGCCATACAAAGAGAAAATCCGTTTCCAGCCTCACCTGTATGCTGCAGCCCACAGACCACAGCAGTGGCAGGCACCTCCCTGGCCCCCAGCTTCACCTGCCCTGGTGCCGACATGGCCAGCTTACCCGGGTCTCTCTCTTGGTCCCTGTCATCACTCGCGTAACCATCACCAGCTGCAGGTGAAAAACAAAAAATAGGAGATTTCAAACATACTGCAAGTGTGTAAGGTTTTCATGAAAGTATTGGTACTGTGGAGGTGATATGGGGTGATTTAATACTACATGGTGTATTCTGTATCACGAAGATGTCAGCCCGATTGGTCCAATTTTTTATTATAGGAAATGACCAGATGGATCATTAACCCTTAACCCGAAGATCCAATAATACATGTACAAGGCAGGATGGCTGCGACTACAACTACAACAAGTGGATCTTACAATTTTTCTTCATTACAGCACAAATATGTGAAACTTAAACCGTCTTTTGGCAAGTTCCATGCTCTTACAATAAGAATCTTACATGTTCGACAAAATCTGAGTTCTAGGAAACAGTGACACCATCTTATATGTTCATAAAGCTGATGAGAAGATATTACCTACCTTTTGCCTTTACATTGCTGGTGGGTTTCAGTAGTTTCTTGACTACTTTGTCTTTCTTCTGGTCTGCAGTCTTTTGTAATCGACCTTCAGTTGGGAGAAAAGTTTACAAGTTTTGAGAACATCAACAATAATTTGCAATATGATCATAACTGTAATTATCGTGCACTTAAAGCTTAAATTATTTGTTAGGCTTCTATTGCTTCTATTGATACATTAAATTACATAATTTATCAATTACATACATGTGCACTAAAGGATAGTTTTCTGTGAAATTATGGACACACAATTGCACCTGTTCAAATAACCCCTTCGAGACTCAGATTCCACCAACCAAATGGCTTCCAAGCATTGTTTTTAGATTGAAAATTGTGGCTGTTTGGAAATGAAAATTAATGATCCGCATGTACAGTGGATCATCATTCATGTCCTGCTATCACCAAAGTCCACTGCATTGTGCAGATCATTCCATTTCTGAAAACTCAGGCACAGTTTTCAAAAAACAATGTTTGAAAAAAAAAGCTGACACCTTCACACATAGAATCATAGGTGCAGTTGTTTTCACCTTGCCAGATGTTGAGGTTTGGACTAACTAGGAAGCGATTTGCAATTGGCTGATTTGAACCTGAGCCTCGAAAAGGTTAATTGGATGGGTGACTTGGACACAGGCAGAAGCAATTGTGGTGGTCAAGAAATAGCACTGTGCAATTTGATGAGAGAGTTTCATAGTTTTTATACTGTTAGTTTCTTAGAGAGCTGATTGGTACAGGTCAGGGGAGGAAAAGATGTTCACACTGTTTTGTTGTCGGGGCATGCCAAGGTGCAAGCAGCAGAGGGACATTTAGAAGAACTTTTATTTTTATTCTTGGCAGTTTTTCAATTCTGAACTATACGATAATCATGATACCTCCTTCAGACTTGTCTACTTGATCAAGTTGCTAGAACTTGGATTTGGCAGCAGTGAGCCAGTGATAGCCACTGATTTTTAAGTGTATGTTTAACACTTTTGCAGTCTGTTTGAGTCTTTACCTTAGACTAATACTCAGTGGCTACTAAGTTATAGAAAACAAACTTTTCTTGTACTAGTCTTGGTCGAGACTAGGTCACTCCGTGATCGAGGCGTACAGTGAACATCGAAAATTTGGAAGTATGTGTTTGCTACCTTTCAAAAAAGTCACTGATTAATAAATATTCTTACTACTAACTGTTAATCTATGCCATGTATTTGACTGATGAACTTCTTCAAGAAAGATATAGAAAACGATTGCTCTGCCCTTGCTGTTTGCACCCTGACAAGACCCCATGCGTGACCCCTGACCTATCAACACATCGACACAGCCGGGCAATAACTTCTTGTACTGGTCGAGCTCCTTCATCTGGGCCCGTCTGTCGGGACTGTCCTCACCTGCGCACGACTTACAGATGCCACACTCACTGCAGCCAGAGTCTCCTGACCCACAGCCACACGCCCTACAGGGGGGGGGGACAAAAAAAAGGAATAAATGAATTATAGAATGTAGAATGCTACACAGTGTATTCTGTATCACCTGTAGTCCCAGCCTGGCCAAGGCCAGGGTCAGATCGACCAACTGCCAAAAGTTATCCTACTCATAGGGGTTTTGGAACCATGCAAGGGTACTGTTGAATACACTGTCTTTCATTTATGCCTTACCCATCTAAGAAAATACACAGTGAAATAAGTAAAATTTTGGTGTTCCTATAAGCTATCAAAGCTACTGTAACTACAGTAGATTGTAGAAATACTGGACCTTGAACCATTTATTATAATTGTTGTTTTGTGATGATGACGCAAAGATTGTCCTGTTACAACAACAACAAAAATAACAGAAAATGTTTTTCTTACGTTCCAGGGTTCCTGCCTGGCATACCACTGCTGACACAGCTGGCTCCGTACCCGGTACACTCCCCGCACACCGTACACACCATGCACCTAACAGGAGTAACACAAATCAGTAACTGTAATCTCGGAAAATAGATTCATCAGGTTGGCATGATATGAGGGTTTTCTTTTACACAACCGATCTTGTCTCTTACCTTGCTAACATTTCAGTGTCTATCAGACACCTTCGTCAGAGCTTTTGCCGCTATGTTTAAGCCTTAGTGTATTTATATAACTGTAACAGATAATACTGTTACAGTAGATGTAATGAGTCGACAACTTTGATTTTAATGTCCTGTCCTTTTCTGACATAGCTTCTTGTCCTTGTCCCAAAGGTTAGCCCTTTAAAATAGTCTTGTAACCATAGCTAGGCAACCCTGGTTGTCTTTTGTACAGCTGAAGCAATAAAATAAAAACAAAAATAAACAAACCTCTCCATCTTCCAGACATGTGTTCCGGGCGCGCACAGGCTCGGGTCGCTCGCCTCCTCTGTAACGTCCTCGTCGTGGTCGTCTTCTGCGCCCACCGCCATCGCTCCGGCCGACGCTCCTGGAGTCAGAAGGTCATGGTGTTATTGTTGCATCCAAATTCTTAGTGCTTAGGTCACAATTACACTGGTGCCCGTACAAGGTGCAGCCCCATAACGGGCTCCGAAATCAAGAGGACACCAGCTGTTGTGGTCATGATTAAGACCCTTTTACGTTAAAAAGTTAAGTGCTAACTCACAGTAGCACTAACCAGTAGGGGTCTTGGGGTGTTACAGTGGGCACCTGTGAAATGTCCTGGTTACAACAAATATAAGAAATATGACACTATGAAAGTGTTGGTAGTTACATGTTGAGTTTAAAAGTTTTAACCACCTTGGTCTTCTTGAATAGACTGACCCAGTGAGATAGTGACTGATTAAAAGCTCTAGGAGAGAATAATCCTTTAGATTGGAACAAAAGTTAAAACTTTTTAAAGTTATGTTTAAAAACATATACCAAATTACATTCAGGAATTGTTAATAAGCTTAAGCTAGCAGCTTTTGATTTGAACAATGCAAGAGTAAATCAGTAACCCTGACCTTCCTTCTGCTGAGGCGTAAAGTCCCTGCCACACTGTCCCTTGTTGTTCACTCCGAACGTGAACACCTCCCCCTTCACAGTCAGCACACAGGCGTGGGCCTTACCCAGCGACACCTGGGTTACTGCCTCATCTTTCAGGTCAGAGATCAGACCTAGCGATGGAACACAAACAAACATACACATCACAATACATACAAAAACAAGAAAGAGATTTCAGACTTCTGAGTATGCCAGTAATATTTTTGTTTTTCCCAAATGTGGAACTGTGGAGGGGATGATGACTTGTATTATACCACTTCCTGAATTCCTCCACATCCTGCCCACTTACTCCCAACTGGGGGTGCTGGGCCACCTTCTAGGCCACTAGAGGCTGCAATCGCTGAGGGACTATTAAGTAACCAAAGATTTGACAGATCGCTCAACTGACTTCATACATAAAGAACAATGTTTTGCAAGGTTTTTGTTAATCTCTTAATTCGCACATTTACATCTTACATCATATTCTATCATTATCATACTCCAAAATGGTTATTAAATCAGGGGCTACACAAAAAATCCAATTTTGGCCACTGTACAGTCACTCAGCAAATCCACCATCTATAGTGAAAAGGGGTCTTTTTCTGAAGAAGGGGATAAGTTACCTGTGGTGGTGTCTGCATACGCTGTATCCTTGCCGAACATGTACAGCTCCCCCTCCTTAGTGACCACGGCACTGCTGCCCACGTTACAGGCGCTCCACACAACGTGCCTCCCCTCAAGTTTTATCATCTTCTTCGGCTTCGATGGCTTCGGCTGACGAGCTCGCTTCACTGTTCAGGCCACAAGCAATAAAGTTACTAGGGTAACATTTGTAAAGCAAACACACAATGTTTACCTTCACATGCATTGTAGTCTACCTCAACAAACTACTGAGATGAGATGTTGAGATGTCTCACCAAAAGTGAGTGAGTGTGTAACTGTGCCTTAGTGAGAGTGTGAGTGATTGTGTTTGAGTGAGTGAGTGACTGAGTGTGTGAGTGAGTGTGTGTGATTGTGTGTGGGTGTTTGAGTGAGTGAGTGACTGAGAGAGTGTGAGTGAGAGTGTGTTATTGTGTGTGGGTGAGTGAGTGAGTGTGGGAGTGAGAGAGTGTGAGTGAGAGTGTGTTATTCTGTGTGAGTGTGTGGGAGTGAGTGAGTATGTGAGTATGTGAGTGAGTGTGTGTGTGTGTGTATGTGTTTGTGTGTGTGTGTGCGCACGTGTGTGTGTGAGACTGTGTATGTGCGCGCGTGTGTGTGAGTGTATGCGTGTGTGTGAGAGAGAGTGAGTAAGAGTGAGTGTGCGAGGTATGCAAATAAAGAACTGAACCCCCCACCTTGGTCCCCGTCCTCTCCCCTCCTAGCCGTGCCGCAGAAGAAGACGCTGCCGTCGTCGGCCACCAGCAGGCCGTGCACGCCGTCGTGCCCCATGGAGCACTGCACCACCCGGGGAGACTTGGTGATGGGTAGCTCCGCCCACTTCCCCAGGGCTGGCCCGCCCTGCTTAATGCCCAGCTGCTGCGACTTACCCGTGTACAGCAGCTGCACAACAGAAAGTAATTTCATTCAGGTTAGTAGGACATAGGATTTGTGGATTTTCTTTCTCACCTGCTGAAGTTTCGATGTCTATAAGACACCTTCCTTCTGACTGGAGTTCTGCTTCTCGCCACAATATGTACCCGATGTAGGTGGCGCTTTTGAGGTGAGAACTCCTGTTTAGAATCTCTCAGGAAAGTGTCTGGCAGATATCGAAACGTCAGTAGGTGAGATAGTACGGGTTGTGTATGAAGATAATCCCCATATTCTAGCAGCTACACAAGTTTGAAAACAGAGTGTACCATTAGAAAGGTAACAATTGTAAACATACTGCAAAAGATTTACCTTCACATGGTCTATAACCTAACAAGCTAACACCACAGGGTGTCTGCTACAGCATCAGTGCTACTGACCTTCCCTGATGTGGTTCTGATTATTGCAATGTCCTTTCCACTTGTCACCGACACAACCTCCTCATCAACACCTAAAGCTGAAACAAATGGGGGGAAAACTTCATAAACCAGTCCAGCAAACTTTTGGGGAAAGTGAATTGCAGAAAAGCATCATCATGATAATTTTTACTAGTCTTAGGACATATTGAGATAATTATGGACAAATTGAGATGATATTATCTCTGAGTTAATCATCTTCTATAGGCACTCAAAACTTATGTGTGACAAACAAATTTGGCCTTCATCATGAAATCTATAGTAAGTATTCAGAAAAGGCTCAACAAATAATTAAACGCACAAAATTCTAAGTAAATTTTGTTTCACATCTAAACTTTGCTTTTCTTCTTTCACATCTTCTTTGACTTCAATGCAAGGAAGAGGTAATTTGAGCACTACTCCCCTTCCTTTGGCATAATACAAGTACCGAAAGAAATACAATATGTAGTCTGGCTGCAGACATTCTTTTTTCAAACAACTCACATGTGGTGTGTAGCTCCTGGTTTTGGTCGAAGTTAGCCCAGCCGCACAGATCCAGGCACTTCCTGGCCAGCCTGAGCGGTAACTCGTGTGTGACCGGCATGGGCGAGGCCAGCGGGTTATAGAACCGGACCAGGAAACTATCCTGAAGGCACAGGGAGAAACATTTAACAGTTAAAAAACAGCAATACTTGGGACAAATGCAGAGGTTATCATTATCAGACGCATGTCATGGGTCACGTGACTGCCCTCCTCTTTAGCTGAAGAAAGATGGTGGATGTCGTCTGAAAGCTCCTACGCTTACAGAACTTTGTCGTGCGTTACAGTTTAAATCCTTTCTTTTACTATAATTTTTGATGCTCTAGAATTTTCAAGCTGGTTGTGACAGAACTAACTGCTGACAAACATCTAAGGCAGCTTAAAGGTTTACAGGACATACACACGCCTATCCCAAGAATGACTTCAGTTTTTCGTGTGTACAAGGATCGCCTACTAGTAACAATATGTCACATGGTCCTAAATCAATTCAGCTAATTTACTGTAAAGCTGTGTTAAAGTATGCTTTATTTACTAATCATTGGGTTCTACAACTATATATACAGTTACTGTTACATTTGATAATGGTTGTAGAAGTAATAATGCTACAAAAAACAATGATTATATGATCAAGGAATGGGAGATGTTTCTTCAACAAGGAAATACAGGTAACAACAGGCTGTGACAATTTTTATGCGATATCATAAGGGAAGATTCTCACTTCTCTATCTGCAACAATCTGCCCAATGTTCTCTCCATCGGTGAAAAACACTTTGCAGCCTCTTCTGGTATCTGCAAGGTATAAAAAATACAGTAAGTTTGATTCACAATAAGTTATTGTAGATGTCAGACTTCCTGGAATAGTTTTGGATTTTCGTGACCTTTAAGTTGACCTTGAAAAGTTTACAGACCTCTGGTAAGTGTTATGGGAACTGTGGATGGGATTGTACATCAGATTCTATAATGTCACTTTGTCGAGTATCACACCACATCTTGAAGGCACATGTTGGGTTACCTTCTGGTGACCTCCCTATCAATCAACTGTCACCTCCCACCCACCATGTAACCAAAAGCAATTAGGACAGATACATACAGATCCATAAACCCAACCAACCAAAACAATACTTCCATTCCGCGAAGTAACAACAGAGAGTAACTTTCTTACATCACCAAAAATAATTTGTGATAAAATTTAATTTGTGATAAATTATAAATTTTAAAAAAACCTGTTTGCATCAAAATGCAGTTTTTGCACTAGAAAAAAAGATAAATGATGAAGCAACTACATGTACATGTTGACTAAGTATTGAAACTTCAAATACATTTGATAAAATTAATGTTCCACTTTACTTTGCCTGGTAAAGACTGCTAGTTGCACTCCCAAAGCATTAACAGTGATAGTTGCGTAAGACAATAACAGTTATATCATTTCCCAGTACACCTCAACTACATGAATATCCATCACACTCAGGTCAACAAATGCACATCCTTTTAACAACACAGGGAGAAAATCATCAGAATTGATTCTATAATAACTTCATTTGTCACGTCCCCAGCGAAGAACTTTCTAATTCTTCACAAGAGGTTGCGAAGAGCAACTCACGAGAGGAAACGTAAAAGCATATGTATAACATACAGCGGGTCTCCAAGGAACAAGACAAGAAGATTACGCTGACCCTCCGCTCCTTAAGGAATTGGTTCCCTCAGATTACACGAGTAAGGGAGCAAGTAAGGTCAAACACTGATTGCGTCTGCCATAGGGGATATCGATTCTGGGGAAAGATACAATACACATGCAGAGATACATCGGTAACTATTAGTCCATACCGCTTCAGGAAATCCCTGTAGGAACTGAGACAGAAAACATTTGCAGCAGACTGCTATATGTCACAAACTCCTCCGGGGGAAGGCAAGTGATCATTCTACAGCTTCTGAAGCAAATTGCGGAACTGTAGACCAAACTATTTTAAAGCGTGCACCAACCAGCTTTCAATAACATCTCTGATTGAATATGGGCAAAGTGCAGTACTATTTTGCAATATCCAAAACATATCCTTAACCAAGCGACTTTCAATTACATCTGAATGTATATATGGCTACTGCTTCTGTAGCAAATTGCAAAACTGTAGACCAAACTATTTTAAAGCGTGCACCAACCATCTTTCAATAACATCTCTGATTGAATGTAGGCAAATTACAGTACTGCAGATCAAACTATTTTGCAATATGTCAAAACGTGCACCAACCATCTTTCAATAACATGTAAATCTGATTGAATGCAGGCAAACTGCAGTACTGTAGACTAAACTATTTTGCAATATCCGAAACATATCCTTCACCAAGCGGCTTTCAATTGTATCTAATTGAATGTATGGCTACTGCTTTTGAAGCAAACTGCGGAAATGTAGACCAAACTATTTCAAAATGTGCACCAACCAGCTTTCAATAACATCTCTGATTGAATGTAGGCGAATTACAGTACTCTACTGCAGACCAAACTATTTCGCAATATCTGAAACATGCACATATCCTCAACCAAGCAGATTTCATTATATCTGATTGAATGTATAGCTCCTGCATACTTTCCACCTAAACCTGATTCAAGCTAGCTTACATATAAATTGGATGGCATCTAATCAGCAAGTAATGTTGGTGCCAAAATTGTGCATCAACTTTTAGTAATATTAAAGAAGGAAACCACAAAAAATGTTACAGAAATTCAGACAAAAAGTATGAGTAGAGTGGAAATAATTCCCCAGCTGAACAAAATATTTTTTTTCAGACAGAACTAGAAAGATAGTGTTGCATCAAGGAATATAACCTCCTTGGTTGCATCAATGTGCTTTCATCAGGAAAGTGAGTGGCAGATTATAGCAACTCTTTCAGACAAAAAAAAAACTTTTGACGTGTGCCTTTACCTCGTGATACAGCCCTGCAAGTCAGTCTTCCAGTCTCACTCACTCACTCACTCAGCTCCGCATGCCCCTCCTTCCAGTCTGGATATTGCATTTCATAGAGAAGAAACCTGTCTTCTACTTCAGCCAGCAAAAACCTGACAGATACCTCGGGCCATCTCAAAGCTAAGCAATGCATTGAATGGGATGCAATATGATGAAATGTGCACCAAGTGCCTTTCAATTATATCTGATGAAAAGCGATGTATGCATATCCACCTAAATCTGATCTAAGGTACTGTACTATTATACATGTAGTTAACCTGGTACATTGTTATTAAAGGGTTAGAAAATCATAATTTTTTGGTTATTTTTTTGTTTTTCCGTACTTTTTTCTTTTTTTGAGGAAAAGAAAAAACTTTGACAAGTGTGCCTCATGATACAGCCCTGCAAGTCAGTCCTATAGTGTGGATAATATTGCATTTATATACAGACTAAGAAGAAGCCTGTCTTCTTCTGTAGCCAGTAAAAACCTGACAGATACCTCGGGCAATCTCAAGAAAGCCGAGCAATGCATTGAACGCTCAGCATGCCAGCCCACAAGGTTGCTGTGTCTCAACTGATCAAACTGGCTCCATTCCCCACATGAAAACAACATTTATCTTGATCTCAAAGAGCCGCCGGCGTCACGGCCCGGTACAGGTGCACTTAGGCTGGATACAGGCATCATGTTATACACAGGCCTGGGGGAATCTGGATCTATTCACTGACAGCATCCTAGTATATAGTCCAGTAATGTAAATGATACTGAAAATGTTGATTTATCTATCATATAACAATTAAGAATATATTACTAAGTTTGTTTGTTGAAAATATAGTGGATGCCTGCTGAATGGAGTGAGATCTGTCCTTGGTGCTGAATCTATAGGGCTTCTCATGATTTGAACAGGTATCATGTTATACACAGGCCTGGGGGAATCTCGATTTATTCACTGACAACATCCTAGTATAAAGTTTCAACAGTTTATTCATTAAAACCAGCCTCGCAGCCTGTATAAAAACATGCTGAATAACACTGATTTTTTTTACAGTTGATTGTCTGGCAAATACAACTTAACATTACAATACATACAAACACACAAGCAAAAACATTATAAAAAGCCTGACATGGGCACTAAAGTAAAGACCAGAGCGTCCTTAGAGTCTTACTGTGAAGACTTGTTAAACAGGCGTATTGCCTTGTGTAAGAAAGAGTTTTTCAGTCTTCTTGTATGGGCTGCTGGTACTGTCCAGTACTATATAGTCCTGTAATGTAAATGATACTCAAAATGTTGATTTATTTATAATAAAACAATTAAGAATGTATTACTAAGTTTGTTTGTTGAAAATATAGTGGATGCCTGCTGAATGGAGTGAGGTCTGTCCTTGGTGCTGAAACTATAGGGCTTCTCATGCTTCTGATGAATGAACCATTGTATCTTCATGAGAAATTAAAATTATGAGATGCTCAAATCATTTCTGACATCTGTTTCCAATAATAAATGAATTGTATTAAGTTCATTTGTATCCACTTGTTTGTAGTTATAAGTTACAAGAGTCATACTTAATTTGTTGTGTTGACTAAGATTAAAATTTCTTCTTTAACATTTAGAAGCAATATCAAAGCATATTTAAAAGAGAAATTTAGATTATACTACAGCTGTGGGGTTAGGGTAGGCAGCAGTCAGCTATAGTAGTCTTTATACCATATTTCCAGACGGTTCTGTCCAGTAAATCTATGCAAAACAACTTCATCACACTGCCAGGCTACACAAAAGTGGGTGTTGAATTCCCAACGAGGCTCTTCATGCTCCATTAAATCAGTATTGCTCAGTCCATTAACCACAAATGCTGATTTCTATAGAAACCATTATACAGGCAAGGGATTTTGAAATACTGCAGCCCAGACTATACTATTGAGACTTGCCATTGTATTATACAGCTACATGTAGTATCATTACAATAAGTAACTGTTAATGATACAAGTGTCTGGTTTTTGTCAGTATATGGTACACCTGTCAGGAACAACGGTGTCTAACAATAGGTAACATTGGAACAGTGATTCTTCTATATTTGAGTCTGGGCTGAATGGAGTTTTACATTACAGAAAAGACCTTGACCGTCTACGTGAAAATAAATGGAATCCCATTTGGAGTCCTACATAGTAGAGCACGTCAGCAGAATGTACTTCACCTAGTACACAAAACCAGTAATGTATTGTGTATAGCACTTTGGCAGTAATACCGGCTATACATCTGATACAGATATACAGACAGATACTCATGTATCTATGGATGAGATGCCGGCTACAGTTTTCTTATGTGTCCAAAAAGGTCTTGTCAGCAAGGTACAAAATTCTGATGCAATGATGACCAAAATTCCAGACTTGATCTTTACTAGCACAAAATCTTCATAAGGCCACACCAATTTAATTTCTTGGTTAACGGATTTGCCGCTTCATTTTTTTTCTGATTTGCAAATAAAAATAAAAATTCAGAATCAACTGCAAAATGCTCATATTTTGCCCTGAACAGTTGAAAACAGTCCTTTTCTTACTACTTGTTACAGTCATTCCATCTTTCAATGCAGTGGTATCATTAAAAGTTCAAAATTCATTGTTTAAATTTTGAACCAGCCTGGTGTGTTGACTTCATGACTCCTATCGTACCATTTTGGGCCAAATAGCATGCCTAGGCCTGTTTTTATTTTAATTTTTTTTTCGCCCGCCCGCTCCATTATTTGTCTAGAAAAATCTGTTAATCAAGAAATTTAATTGGTGTGGCCTAACAGCACCCAAATACACCTGTAGCCCTTCCATCTATATTATCAATGACAAAAATGTAACAAAGCCTCTGGATATGCTACCTTCTTCTTGTAAAGAGTGCTTGACCCATACTGGACTAAATCCAAGTATTAAGAACATCAGCTTTCAATCCACAACCCTGCCACAGACACATCAGCCGTGCCATCTGTAATTGTTACTCGGGCAGGGCTGGAAATACTGGGTGATGTGCACCTTAGTGCATCCAAAATTGGAGTTGTGCATCTTTTTTTCCAGTGGGTGCACTGGTGCACCTGAATATTTTTGTAGGAATTTTCATTGGAACATTGGAAGTGTATAATACCGGATATTCTTGGTCTCAAAGTACCAGAAAAAAAATGAAAATCTTTGTTGTAGTAATGTTTAAGATTTTGAAGTTAGCTCTCATTTTAGATTCAAGCCCAGAAGAGGAGCAGTAAGATCTGCAATTAGGTTTTGTTTCATATGGTGCACCCAAAAAATTCTTTGTGCACCTAATTTTTCAGGTCGGGTGCACCAGTGCACCTATTCCTAAAAATGAATTTCTAGTCCTTACCCTGCAATCTGTAATAATGTTACTCGGATGCAGTCTGGTGAGATCCTGGCCTGAGACTGATTATAAGTACTGCCCTGGTGCAGACCAGTCCAGTCTGTTTCTTTATCATTATCTCACAATCTACACATACCTGTCGGAGCTCAAGCAAAGAGCCATCACCAAGCCTGCGGGTCCTTTGGCCCAGGAAAAGAAGCGTTGAGTTTCTGGTTTCCTGACTCAAGCAAAAACCTGACTCTGCATGCCAACTCTAGCCTGTTTTCGGGGGTCGACCAAGGACATAAAATTTTCAATCAGACATCTGAATTCGAAACCTTCTGAAACATTTTTTTCACGCATTTTCATAAACAATTTTTTTGGAGGGATAAATCAGATGAAATATTTGAATGTTCCCTTCCCCACATGCAAACAGAGGAGTGGGTCCTGGAGACAGCCCTTGTCCTAATGCATTTCACTTTTACATTATGGTCTAACTGTACTTGTTGGATTACTTAAGTCAAAATCTAAAAAAAAAATAATTTATAAAAATTGAAGAAGAAAAAATGTAAAATAAAATAAAATGAAATTTGATTTTAAAAAAATTTAAAAAGAAAATTGACCCCTTTTTTTTCAGGACCAAAATCTGAAAGTCAAAATTTTTTCTTAGGCCTTAGACTGCAGAGATACCACAACTGTCATTACTCATAGCATTGGGGGAGATTTCTAAGACAGAGGCACCCACTGATGATCATTACTGCGGCTTGACAGATAGACGCAGTAATCCCTGAACTTATCTCACTTCATTGCCGTGGGCAGTCTTTACGCAGCAGGAGGGGTCCTGACAAAGTGCTCTCCCGTAGAGCGCATCGCAAGCTTCGGGGCGAGATAAGTACAGCCGGGGTCACTGAAGGTCATCTGGACGGACTGAAAACTTTAGTCTTATCAACTTAAAGGTCAGTCTGGCTGTTTTTACCTGGGGCGGAACACTCAATTAGTTACCAAGCTCGGATCAGCGTTTCTCGACGTTAATGTCCTATTTCTTAGGAGTAGGAGACTTAATCACACGCTTTTTGGAGCCTAATAACCGAAACTGCAGATTCTAGTTCTGTATTGTGTATCCGTATTTGTACCTGTATAGCCGATATTACAGCCCTTCGTTGTAACACACCAACATGTATCTGTATAGCCGATATTACAGCCCTTCTTTGTAACACGCAAGCTTCTGGATCTGGATAGCTAGTACAACCGCCCTTTGGTGTAACACACCAGCTTCTGTATAACACACCAGCTTCTATATAATCATAATATTAGCTGGACCTCACATCTCAAACTGAAGAATGTAGAACTCCTTTTTAACCTGAGTCAAGTGAGGAAATAAGACTGGTATAAATTGCCTTTTCTAAGGACATAATGAAGGGGCATGACAGGGATTCGAACCCAGAACCTTCAGATTCTGAGTCAACAACCTTAACCACAAGAACAGCACCTTAAAGTTTGGGCCACCTTAATTTGATCCTCTCACAAATCAAAGGATCTTTCCCCTTTTCTGTTTAGCTGGGCCACAGCTTTGATATTAGATGTTGTAACTCAACAATATCATATTCGAAAAGGTTGTTACACCAGGACTGACTGGCAGAGATATCAGGAATGACTCTGTACTTTACCGTTTTACGATCCATGTAAATGGCTTGGTATCCATTTGCAACAACGAGACCGCGTTTATCATGACTATAAAATGCAACATTATGTCCACGAAGTCAACTGACTGGCTAAGGTCAGCATGCTTACACTGTGCTCTGTGAAAACCTGTCAGCTTAGACAGTAACTGATTTGACAAAGTCCGACAAAGGAGGCGTAAACCCTGTCAGAGATGATCGATCAGACTTTGGGAGACAAGAGTGTCTTGACATTTTTCACAAATCAAAGGAGAGGGGTACAGATAAAAGACGTATAACTGGGCAAAGAAATGAGAGAGCCACAAAACTACATTCTATACCTCTGATGAAATTGGCCACTAAATCAAGTAACATCTGATGATATTGGCCACTTAGCATACTCTTCTTTGTCCAATGATGCACTGTCACAGTGACAAATGAATATATTTCAAACTTATTTTTATAGAAAGATCTCTGAAGTGTGGTGTGATCTATAACCTTGAGGTGATGTGGCTCTTTGGGGCGACCAGCTTTACATCCCATCCGAGGGGACGTCTCTAACTGATTCTAGGACTACACATTTTCACCTGATTTAAGTGAGGAAATAGATTTAAAAAGCCTTTTTCAAGGACACAACACTGGGGCCTGCCAGGGATTTGAACCCAGGACCTTCAGTCAACAACCCTAATCATAAGACCATCTTGCCATCTTACCATCTGACCAAAGAGAATTATTCAAACATATTATGTAATCCAGGGACTACGATGTAAATGAGAACCTATGTAAATTTGTTCACGCTTGTTTCAAAAAGAGACAAGAGATCCTGTAATTATCGATGTAGCACAGTAATGTAGCACTTGTTCCTCCTACTCTTATACCTCAGTTACCTAACATAGTGCATTAAGCCCATGTAGGACGTGAATATAAATAAAGCAGATGGTTTGAGCGTAGGGTCAAAGAGGTGGTACACATCAGAGCCCTCTCCCGTTCTTTAATTTAAACTGCAACCAAGGCCGCCACCGACTACTCCCCATCTACAACACACTCGTCCAGTCATGTGACCTTTCAACCCCCAGGTCACGTGATTGCCCTCGTCATTAGCTGAAGAAAGAAGGTGGATGCGGTCTGAAAGCTCCTACGCTTATAGAACTTCTGTCGTCTGTATTAGTTTTAATCCTTCCTTGTACTATGCAATAAAGTTCATTGTCATCTCAATCTTTTTCATGTGTTCATGACCAAAGCCTGACCTTCCAGTTCCACGGCGTGCTGTTCCTCCAGTGTTTCTGTGTTGACGAGCACCAGCGAATTAGCAGCATGACATCTACTCCTGAAGAACAGCTGGCCCTAAAACAATAAAACATCACGTTTTGTTGTTGTTGAAGAGATTCATTTGTCACGTTCATATCATGCTTAGTAGAATATTCCTCAATCAGTGACGTTTTTATAAAGGTAGAAAACACGTACCTCAAAATTTTTTATGTCTACTGTACATCTTGATCACGGAATGACCAACAGTAGTCACGCGAGAACACGAGACCAGGTCCAACATATAGTTTGTACTAGACTGTTGTGTTAACCTGTGTAAACATGCGAAAGTCTTCAATATTATGATTTGTATAATTCTTTAGATTGAAGACTTATTGCTGCAAGGTAGCCTACTCTACCTTAGCATATCCCAGCCAGCCTTTCTCCTTTGTATGGAATGCTGGGTTGGCAGCATACACATGACCCTGCAACAAATTAGCAAAAGAAACAAGTTGAACATAGAACAGCAATTCCTGTCACAACCCCGTCAATCAACAGAAACCAAATCTCTGCCCATCCAACTCTAATCCTTCCTACTCAGGACAAAATACATACACATTTATTTAATATTTGTTTCTTTTAACAGGGCTAAACACACTGCTTTTCAGGCGTGCCCTGTAGGGAATAACACAAGGAGTGTTATTCCCATGAAGGGAATAACACAAACATGAATCCGAAATAAAATGGAGTTCAACGCATAATAACAATTGAAAACATGAGGTACTTAATATTATATAAAGTTAGGGACGCTTACCTTGATTGTCCCACTGTACCCAGACCCAATTTTGTACAACCCCGACAGACAGTGTATGTACAGATAGTGTCCATCACTCTGTATTGCACTGTAGGAAGACCTGCTCTCCTCAAACTCTCTGGCAACTGGAGGGAAAAAAACAACACATTTTTACTTAATCGTTAGACTGAAGATACAGCCAACACTACCCAATTATCAAGGACAAACCTACATTTAACCGCGACGGGGGTTGACATCATCTACCAGATACCTTTGACCCAGTGTTGACATCACACTTTAAAGAAGCCACGTAACAAGCCTCACTGGGTCAGTCTACTGAGGAAAACCAGAGTGACTGGTCGAAAGCTCTAGGTGAGGGAATTTTTTGTGTTGAAACAAAAGTTTAACTTTAAACAAGGGCAAACCCTATTTAAGGATTATACAAGACAGTGTTTGCCAGGCCTCAGTCAGTTTACGAGCGCGAAAATGAAAAATTGAGAAAAAAGTTATGAAATCTAAGTGGTCAGGAAGGTTGAGCACATCATGACTGAACACAAACGGCAATTTTCTGTACCAAAAAGTGAGTTTCTTTAATATATCTTTATTCTTTCACATCTTCTTTGCTTTGACTTTGGAAGACTTCTTGGTGCAAACATTCAAGTGGAATTTTGAGCCCTGATTCCCTTCCTCTGGCATCTTCTTTTTCCTTCAACCTCTACTGCAAGTTGTTTCTTGGAAATGGAAGAAAATCGATGCACATACGGATGTCATCCATAATTGCGTCAATGTGTGATGTGGCCTGATATAGAATGCCCATTCTCTTTGCCACTCTTACACAAGTTTGGGGTTCACACAGGACGTCATCTACACATTCAATCAGTTTTACGAGACCTGGTACTCTAAATTCCCCTGCACCCTCCATTTGGTGCAGCCGGCTCCAAATCAATGACATGTTCCAATCATTTCCGACTCTAATCCTGGCTGTAAATTTTGCAGGGCGATCAGAAGATGAGGTTAGGAAAAGTCCTGCCCACTCATCTGTTACCGACAGGAAGAGTTGACGCAATCGTCAGGCCACACCAATTTAATTTGTTGTTTCTCGGATTTTTGCAGAAAAAATATGAAGCAACAGGGGGAAAAAAAATAAAAACAGGTCTAGACATCCTATTATAGCCCTAAATGCTACAAAAGGAGCCATGAAGTCAACAAAAACGACTGGGTTAATATTTAAACAATGAATTTTGAACTCCTAATCAAACCGTTGCATGAAAAATCTGTAACAAGGCAGAAGAAAAGGACCTTCCTCAACTGTTGGGGACAAAATATGAGCATATTTGAGTTGATTTGGAAACAGAATTGGTTTTTTTTTTTGGCAAATCAGAAAAAAATGAAGAGGCGAATCCGTGAACCAACAAATTGAATTGGTGTGGCCTTATGTTCAGACTCGCAGTTTGGCTGTCTAATGGTGCATGGATTCTGACATATCATCACAGGGGAAGACTTAGGAGTATTCAGAGCATGACTAACTTTTAGACACTGAAATTACCATTTCATCAAATTGAATACAACATTAGAAGGCTAAGTATATGGTACTACCGGTAGTACAGATTTTCAAAAGATACAATTCGGTAAAGCAATGAGTGCATTTTTTATTAAATGTTGAGGTTGTGGTTCAAAACCAGATAATCTATATGCACTTGATGAAGCAGCAGAAAGTGATTTTAAGTTCATTTGTTTGTCTGTTTATTCATTTAGAGAAAATTAGAAAAGCCAAGGACAAGAAGAAATGTATAAAATACAACAAAGTGCAGCAGTGCAGGAGGGATGAAACTTAAAAGTCTTATCCTAAATCCTTTAAAAAAGTCCAATTTTTTTTCAAAACATGTTTCCTATCTTGCTATAGAATCCTGTAGAATCTTGATACTCTCCTATACCTCAGGTAAACTAGGTTAATAGAGATGCCCGATGTTCCATGAAAGAAACACAGTTAGGAACCCTCCTGTCAAACCACATTCACAATCACATCAAACTTCACATGACCTTTGACAACAATGCAGGGTGTGAACTCAGGCATAGGGAAATAAAACGTTGTGTTTCCAGTTACAGTCTAAAAATAAATTTCAGACTTCTCAGAAGTAGTTAGTTTTTGCAACTGTGAAGCTAACAGAGTGCCAGAAAGTGTTTAAGGACTGTGGAGGGGATTGTGTGCTGTAATAAAGTATTATACCAATTCCTAAAGGTGCTCAAGCAACTTCCCTATCAATCAAATGTCAAAATCATCTCCCACCCATGCACAAAACTTTAAGCAATTAGGACAGGCAGAGAAACCCATCAACTCAGTCACCCAAAGAATACTTTTGTAGCTTGATGCAAAAAGATCAGAATGAAACTGTTGATTATAAATCTACCTGCTTATGTCATAAGGCAGTTTGGTTTTGTTACATCTAGGTTTTGTCTAGTTTATTTATTATGTTAGTTGAATGATTAATATTTCCTAAGTTTAAAGGAGAACATTGTACAAGCCTTGCAGGCTTCTTTTTTCCTCCTGCACACTTCTTTTTCCTTTGTTTTGCATACTTCTTGATTAATGTTTGCCTTTTTATTGGTGCAAATAAATGAATTTAAAAAAGGCCCCAAACCACCAAAAGACTTGTTCCTGCCCTCCTTGTCTGGAGTGAGAAATGTTTATGGCACAGTAGTGAATGTTGCTGGTGAGATTGCTTCTTGTTCTGCTCTGATTTGCACGACTCTGATGAAACCCATAGTTTATGGGCAAAATATAGTCAGCAGGGACCTACCATTTACCTACCAATTTCCTACATATCTGCTCTGCAACTGATAATTCAATTGGCTGTTGATTTTCTGTTGCATTTTCTGTTTCAGATGTTTTAGCGTGTTTAATTGCAGAACCAGTTGTGCAGTGTTGTGTGACAGCGCGGTCACATTTCTCGTTGGTTGTTGTACAATTTTCACGTTGAAGAGTTTTCAAGCAGGCTGTCAGAACGAATTGCCAGCAGGGATCTAAAAAAGCATTTTCTGTCACAACACAGTCAAATTTGGTACCACGTGTATGAAACCATGGAGAGGGACTTGGAAACAGTAAATCTGAACTGGAATGGACTGACGAAAGCTAGTGGATACCAACTGAAACGTCTGACGTTTTCAAAATCATATCCAGTTGCTTGAGTAACTGCTTTTTGGCTAAACTGGAATGATTTAGGGAGACTAGCTTTTGACCAAACTTGCTGGAACGCTCAGACTGCCTGATGTGCCAAAAGACACAGGAAGCCCCTAAGTCTAAGTCTAAATCTATGCACAACATTCTGAAGAATTCCATAAGTTTGCAATTATACAATAACCATACCACCAATGTGACTGGAACCTTTCTGCCTACAAGCTCATTCTATAAATAAATGTATGGATCAAGTCAATAAATGACCTTCAGGACGGTAACCTACATTTTTCTATGCTAGCTACTCCAAATTCCTGTTGTCATGTAACCTGGATACAACAGTGACCTACCTTTTTCTAGGTTCTCTAGTTTCCATGTGTCAATGAGTGACTCCCTTCTCCAACCCATTCAGGTACAGAACTAGGGTATATGTGCATGTGTAGCTAGATAGGCATGGTTCTAGATACAATAACAGTGAATCTAACCTATTTAAGCAAAGAACTAGACAGGCATGGTTCTGAATATGATATCGACCTACCTTTGTTGAGAGGTGACTCCTTTCTCTAACCCATTTATTGCAGGCACAGAACTAGGGTGTATATGTACATGTGTAGCTTGATAGGCATGGTTCTAAATGCAATAGTGACCTAATAGTGATATATTGCATGTTCTGAATGTGATATTGACCTACCTTTTTCTAGCCACTCTAATTTCCTGTTGTCATGTAACCTGGCACAACAGTGACCTACCTTTTTCTAAGTTCTCTAGTTTCCATGTGTCCACGAGCGACTCCTTAGTGATGCCGCAGGAGAGCCAGCTGGGCTGGTGAGGTTTGCCCAGCAGAACTGCCACAACACTCCTCTGCAGGGAGGATAGGATAGAGGGGACCTGCACAACAACAATGTTAATCAATGTTAATTAACTAATTAACCATTTTTAATTGCACAGTGACACAGGACATTTTGTTTATGAAGGGGCAAAAATGTCTAGTCTATGCTTTTCTTCGGTCTGCAAGAAAAAGATTTTGTCCACAAATAAGGTTTTTTTCCTAAGTATTTTTGAGATCTGTCTGATGTTGTTACAGTACTATTTTCAACTTTCTCAATTTGTTTTCATTAAAACAAACTGTCATGATCATCCATATACTTTGGTTTTCCCCACAAAACATATGCACTTGTTCAAAAATCACATACAAAACATAGGCAAGGGTTGATATCACAACACAGTATGATTTTACATTAGATATCATAATTCATCCAAAGGAACAGCATAATGCAACAACAGTTATCAATTCAGCACCATGGACAGGACTTACAAATAGACATATTCTTAATTTGATTCTTCCATTGAATATAAATTGCACTATTTTTCCCACAAGGTTGTGTTGGTTTTAGAAATTAAGGATGTGACACCAGTTCTGGGGTACTGTATTCAAAAAAAATTGTGCTTGTCAAAAAGAGCTACGAGAATTATTGATAGTACTACAATGAACCTGTATACACTGTGGAGGTCTTCTCTGTCAAAACCAGTGGAAGATTAGCTCTTCAGTGAGCTAAACTGGTTTGAGATCACTTACACTTGTTCACCTTTATTTAGATCTCAATTCCCCACAATTCTCTATTCCCAGTATAGAATGTTTCAGTAAAATTTTGAAACAATGATTTGACCTCTGATGACCTTGGGTTGACCTGAAGAGGAGTGACCTCTCCCATCCCCCTGGACAGAACGTCATTAACAGGCAGAACCAGATGACCTGTAATGCCTGCCCAGCTCTAACTAATGGACCACGAGCATTAAGTAGGGCAATTCTGGATCTACAATAATACATATTTGGATACTTTGACTGCTTCTGTCCTGGTTATGTCCATAATAAGTATGAATCCTCTTTCCATATTTCTCATAATAAATATAAATCACCATTTTTATATTTCGTGTAACCTCTGATTGACATCAAAAACTTGTACTGTAGCGGAATCTGACATCATACAGTCATGTATCTGTATCTGTAAAGCCGGTATAACTGCCTTTTGGCGTAACACACAGAACATGTAGTTCTTAGATCTTGCCAATTGTTACTTCTGGGTATGAAAATATTGTTTTGGGTGTTTTTTTTTTAGTTTGTATGTTTTGTGTCCTGACAGAGTACACAAAACATTACCCAGCACATGGGTAGGAAAGAATGACTGGCCACAAGACACAAGGTAAAAAAAGTTAACAAAATTTTACCACAAACCATCCACAAGCACAGAGTAGTTTCATCAGGTTGGTAAGATACTAAGTAAAGAGACTGTTTTTACACAACCAAGTCTTTTATTCAGGCGACGTTTCGGAGACCATCTGTCACCTTCCTCAGGGCAATTCTGACTGGTTGACAATGCTGCAGTGCAATGTGAACTAGTCATACAGTCTTCCAAAACCTTCACAAAAACAAAACACCTCCCAGACGTCTGAAAGCACCAATTTCTTACTGATGTGATGCTATATATTACCCTTCTTTGTATCAGACCTCAAAGATGTCTGTTCTACAACAATATTTGGGTGGGTCACATTTTTACGAGAGCCATGAATATCCCTACAAATTTTGGCATGTTAGATGGGTAGGGAAGAATGGCCACATGAAAAAAAAGTTCACAAAATACGGCCACAAACCATCCAAACCTCCACAGATTATATCCTATTCTACATCATACAAATTCCAGAAAATTCACAAAAACCCAAAATACTTCCCAACAGTATGAAATCTCTGAATTCTTGCTGATGCTTTGTCTAAGAGCTCAAATGATTTCTGCCCTACAAAAATGTTTTATTTCTGCTCTACAACAATGTTTTATTTTATGACACAGCCATAGATATCAATACAAATTCTGACATGTTTGATGCTGTCAAGAACATTGCTTTAGTCATCATTAAGTGACAGTCGAGGGTGGCCTTTCAAAGAGCACTGATAAAACGCAGATGGAAGTGCTTGATGTGATAGCAATTCCCTTCTGAGTTTGTAATGGGTGCTGTCAAATTAAGGTTCCGATATCATCAGTATCTGATGAAATGTCATGCCATCACACGAAGTAAAACAAAAAGCAGCAGCACTTTTTAAACATGGGGAGGTCGTGAGTTCTAACCCCGGCAGGGTCATACAAAAGACTTGATACAAACTGGTACACACTTCTTTCTCTGCTTAGCACTCAGCACATATGAGAAAGAGTGTGGGGAGGTCAAACACACAGCACTACCAGCGGACTAGCCCCCTGCTGTAGTGCCTTGCACAACTGTGTGTCGCCCAAGGGCTACGAAATGGAGATGGGCACCACCCTAGGCTCTGCATAAGAGCACGGGAGACCTTCTTCTTCTTCTACTTTTAAACAAGAAATGTGAGATTTCAGACTTGACGAAGCATTGGAGTGCCACTTATGCAATCCTCCACTTCCTGAATTGCCCCATGTTGATCCTAAAATGCTGGCCCCTGTATGGAGCCATTTCCTTTGACCTTTTGACCTGTCATTCTGCCTGAGTGCCACCCACATGCTGTCCTCCTACTCTCATCTACGTCAAAACAGACACAAACTTACAGATCAGCCACCCAAAACAATACTTCCATACCCTTCAGGCACTAAAGAACTACTTGAACCTTATGTGGTTTCCAGCATTATTCACATGGATGCTCTTCAATTACATCGTTGCCTTTTTTTTTTTAACAGTCTATGCCATGCCTTCAAGTACCAGAGTTATCAACTAAGTATCGAAGTGTTCAAGAATTCATTCTTTCCTAGAACTATTGCTGGAACTCACTGTTACCAAATACAGTAGGGATATTGTCATTAGATAGTTTTAAACAATGTCTAGAGTTAGATGTTCAAGGGTTAGGTGTAACAAGTTGTTCGGTGTAATGTAGCCAGCTGCCGCAGCGCCGCGTGCCTGAAAAGCTGGTGTGTTACGCCGAAAGGCGGTTATACCGGCTATACAGATACAGAAGCTGGTGTGTTATGCCGAAGGGTGGTTATACCGGCTATACGGATACAGAAGCTGGTGTGTTACGCCGAAAGACGGTTATACCGGCTATACAGATACAGAAGCTGGTGTGTTACACCGAAAGGCGGTTATACCGGCTATACAGATACATTATTCACATGAATGCTCTTCAATTACATACTTGCCATTTTTAGCATACTATAAAATACCAGCAGCAACAGAAAGATCTCCATACAGAGAGCAGAGAGGATGTACGTGATTTAGCACATCCGAGTCACCAATCCTGATAACACATAATGGTTATCCCGTCAGAAAACATAAAATCCGCCGTACATCACTCTCCATCACAGGTCGTAACACCATCGCCCCCCGAACAGATGAGGAAAGAGCAGAGCAGAAGCCCCTGGCTGGGCTTAGCAGGGCGCTGGGATTTAGGTTGAGGCATTATGACCATTACTTTCATGTCCCACTGAGATTAAAAGCTATCATCAGGGCAATTCGGTTCCGCCAAGCCCTCCTCCATGACCTTCAAAGATCCTACCTGCCCTACCGTAGCGAAACGGTTACCGGAACAATCCGCCGTGCCGGCTGCGCGAGAGCCAATTTTCAATCACAAAAGCTGGCCGGGAAATCAACCCTATATTGGCTTGCGGTTTGAATCATGTTCTTTTGCGATGCCCCTTGTAAAACCACAGTGTGGGCTGGAACCCTGCCAGTGAACGTAGACAGGCTCCTGTACGTGTGTGTGCGGCGTGGTTATAGCCCGTTTGATGACAATATCTGCCGACAACATATGCCCGAACATTTGTCAACATCAGGCCGCTCTGTACTCCTTCACGGCTCATAGGTCATCTAGAAGCGATCATATCACAGATGGCCTGCACTGCATTCCATTTGGCAAAGTTCGTAGCCTGACTACATCATGTTTCTGGCAGCTCTGTAAGGTTGGCCAGACCAGTAGCCTGACTACATCACACTTCTGTAGCTGACGTCTAAAAGGTTGGCTAGGTCCCTAGAGGCTTGATGGCTAACACCTGTGATGTCATGAGAATTGGGAACTTCTTAATCCTGTCTTAATCTTGAGAGAGAGGGAGAGAGAGAGGGAGAGACAGAAGGAGGGAGAGAGAGGGAGGGAAAGAGAGAAAGAGAGAGGAAGAGAGAGAGAGGAGGGAGGGAGAGAGAGGAAGATAAGGAGAGCTAGAGAGATGGAGAGAGAGAGGGAGTGAGAGAGGAGACAGGAGAGAGAGAGAGAGAGGAGAGAGAGAGAGATGGGGAGAGAGAGAGTTGCTGAATCAGGCTGTCTCTTGTGTTTCTCCCATGTGACTATTTTTTTCTCTTCTGAATCATTAGTTTTGTCTTGAATCATAGAACACATCCAGCAAACAAGGAGGCTTAGTCATCTGTAGCTAGTATGTGACATGCACTGTAAATGATCGCGACAAACGTTCTTCCCCAGAATTAACATTCATGGAGGTTTCATGTCCCGCCGAGCGTCCGGGGACAGAGACCCGGATCGAACGTGACATTTAGATAGAATCAGATGCCGTTTGACGTAATGAATGGTTCTGTAATGAAACCTTCATCACAAGGAAGCATTCAGGTCGTCCGATGGTGATGGCACTTGATTATGAGGAGCGGCTCAGCTTAAGGGCCGTTTGCTGCACAACAATTTACTTGATGCTTGATCCAGATTAACAATTAGTAACCAGCGCGTCGGCAGAACGTACAATGCCTCAGCAAATTTTCTGTGGTTTTCATTGGATGTTACAAAAGGAAACCAAGGGAAACAGGGAGCTAAAAAGACTATGCTTTTGTCAAACTTAGATTAGAACATCTGTTTAGACAACCATCTTGGAAGAATATACGATGCCTGCGTCAAACTTTTCACGGTTTTTGTTGGATACTTGGTCAACATTGCATCA